ATGTAAGCAAGCACTTCAATAAAACGGAATAGTTCACAGTTCTATTCAATTTTCTTTATAAGTCCTAGGGAAAGCAGATGACATGTATAATAGTCATAACAAACGTTTCCTTACACTTTCAAGGAATCAATCTATACTTATATCGTAAGCTGAAGATTGTTTCAAAGCGCTAATCTCCAAAACTACTGGTTTAAATTGAACAAAATAATGTTTTGTGTTAGATGGTCTGTTAAATCTCACGTTACCATACACAGGAACCGAGGAAAGGGTGAATAAAATGTATGAAGTATTGTTTTTCTTAGTAATAATCTGTGTACAATTTCAATCTAAAAATGCAGTAAAATTGCATTTACATATGGCAATAAAACACTCAACCTAAGTGCTGTATACAATTTCAAATAACATTGGTAAACCATATGATTGCGTATTTTAATCGAATATCAACCTAGACTTTACCGTATAAGGTTTATTATAGTCTAGCATGCGTTAATCAAACCGCTTACTGAAGCTGATTGAATATGGGGTTTGTTGATTAAAATCATTTGAAATGCCATCAAACGTAGTTATCGTTTCGTGGAAATATTTCAGTTTCGGTACAGCTGTACTTGGCAGTGGAAGCTATTTGTGTAAATCGGAGTGGGAGGTATTTATAAACAAACATTTTACCATTGACAACGTAGATGTGTATTTTTATAGTAGATACAAAATTCATGTTACGAATTCAATGTTATAAAAGATGAGCTAGGTTACATAACTAGTCTGCTCGATTGGCACAGTGGCTGGGTTCCCGCACGGAACAACTCCTTGTGAGAACTACAAATTGTTGTTCCGAGTCTGGTTGTGCTATGGTTGTGAAACTGTATGTTTGTAAACGCACCCATGATACAGGAGAAAATTCCAAATGTGGGGCAACGTTTTAAAAAAAATACTAGTCCCAGGACTAGAATTTGTATTGTTATGAATTGTTATTAATTGTATGTCTTGGCTTTGACTTTACAAACCACGTAAATGCACAATTTACAGCAGTTACATATTATTATTATATTCTACAAATATTATAAACACGAAAGTTTGTTATTTATTACTCTCTTTCAGGTAAACAAAGGGAATATAGATTTTAATGAAAATTGGCATAAAAGTAGACAGAAGTAGACTGGATTACCACATAGCATATTTTTCTACTGATTTTAATAATCACAGATACAAGTTTGTATTAATTCCTTAGGAAATTTACTAGAATGTTCTTGAATCTGTAGCTCTGTTGGATTATTTATTTAGCCAAGACAGATGTTGTTTTATTTGACGAGTAAATAGGAAACACACTTTTAACGATACTATTCGAAGAAATATAAAGAATCCTTTGTTTGTTGATCTAGTGTCTATTCAGGGCTCTTGATTAATGGTTAATTAATAATAATTGAAATAAATCAAGCTTAATAACTTCCTTGTGTGGACTCTGTCAATGGTTCGTTTGATAGACAAATTTATTAGAATCTATATCACAGTAGATACAGTTAGGGCAATGAATGAAGAATCCTTGTATTATCTTTTTCATTATGCGATTAGCTTTAGACAAGGTCTTGTAAGTGAATCAAATGCTATTTAAAAAGGTTGCCCCACGCTAGGCACGCAATGAACTGTACCAGTTCAAGTTATGTATCAATATAGTGAAAGAGTCGTGCTTCGACACGAATGGGCCGACTTGACCGGAGTGATAATACGGCCTAGCAGAATAGCGGCGTGGAATCACCGCAGGCCTAAACCTACCACCTTCTCATCCGCCATCCAAATCCAATCCTCAAATCTGTAACAACTCACAAAAAGCCGTCAACGCACTTGGAACTTCTTTTTTGTCGTGTGTGTCTATAGGAGACGTCGATAGCTCACCACCAGGTGATGCTTCTGTCCGTTAGCCCACCTATCCCATTAAACGAAAAAAGAAAAATTGCATCAAAACCCTTCCATGTGTTTTGCGTGATGTACGTGCAAACTTACTGACACATAAACAAAAACAAGTATTGTTCTGTCTGGCGTTGCTCTAATAAAAACACTAATAGCTAATTATGCAGTTAAGACTAATTGGTTCTCCTTCAAAGTGTATATAAATCAATATTTATAATAAATAATATAAGAAGGAATGTTTCACACCCGGATTACTCATGTTTGTTATGTTTGTGATAGTCATTGTTTATACCTATTACTTGAAGTATTACTATAACATTATCAGTCAAAGAATTTTCTGGATTCTTCTCAGTATATGTAATCTACTTATTTTCGCTATGATGTCAATAGTTTGCTGACCTTAATCGTTCAACTATAAACTTCTTTTTTCATCTCTGATTTACTTATTTCATCCTTGTTTTAATAATTCAACATTGATGTAACAGGTACAATTTGTAAAGAAAATTTACAAAAATAGACTACGTAATCGTGCAATTGTTCGATTCATTGTCCAACAAATTAATTTAAATACAGAACGTAATCGTATAATTGTTCGATTAATATATATAAATGTATGCGTATACATGTTTTACGCTCTGGATTGGGTGAGAGGAAGTGTCTCTTACAACCAACTAAATCTACTACTAATCACAGGGCTTTCTTCTTCGTTCGAATCTTCGATAAAATAAATTTTGTATCTATCCAAAATAATAGGTACATCATACGCTTTATATATTTTTTATTTAAACACATAATTAAATTACGGAAGTGTAACAAAGATACTGAGTACATTGGTATCATTTATATTTTGTTGTCAAATAACCTAGAACATAGCGTCCGCTATCAAGGCCAACATAATATACGAAGAAGAGTAAACAAAGTAATTTGATAAGGCTTCATAAAATTATTCCATTATTATTTCGATTTGCTGAAGGCCGGAAGCAATTATTGTAAACTGAACTCAATAATGTTAAAGTGAAAGTCTACATTCATCTATGGCCCGTGGCAGTCCATCGCTGAACTATAAATTCATTACATTTACAATTCATTCGTACATTACGCACATGGGGATTTCCTTAATCTCCAGAATTGGAGATCACAGACAGGCAGAGAGATCATGATCTGAGTATAATCTGAAAGGAATTAAGATTAAATGTAGGTACCTACTCCGATTAATCAAAGAGCGCTTCAGTCAGTCTATGTCAAACGCTAAGCACCTAAACGATTTTAAGGAAATGAGGTTGCAAATCACCACGTAGTCTCCAGGCTTATTGGTCATTTTACCCTTATAATTAGAAATCGTATGTTCAGGTTTCCTCTCAATGTTTTTCTTTACCGTTTGTCGGTGGTATCTAAATAATGTTAGGAAGTCCGTATAGTTCAGAAAAAGTTTGAACAGTACTTGCCAGATTTCGAACTCGCACTCTGATGCACGAGAAGCGAATGCCTTAACCTCTAGACCAGTACGACGTAATGCATGGCATGGCAACTCGTATGTAATTTAACTATTATAATGTCCACATTTCGTTGTTTATTTTGTTTATAACTCCGGAACGAATGTACCGATTTGGACAAAATCTTCCATAGATATAGGTTATTTATAATCTTGAATTGTAGACACATTAAGTAGATAAAATGTACTAAGATAACTTTTTACAGCGAGTAGTGAAATCACTGCTACTTTTAAATAGGCAGGAAAAGTTTAAATTAATGTCTAATTGTTATTTTTTACTACTTTTAATCTGTACCTATTTTCCCACAGTAGAATAGCTTCACAATATAATTATTATGTATAATTATGCTATTTAAGTATAACAATGGTGGATGATACATTAAAAAAAAGTGAAGGCAAATAATGTTTGAAATATCCTGAATCATCTCGGAGAAGTATTCAAAGTACTGACACTAACTTATTAAAGGTTCATGCAATGTTACTTATAGATGCATTAGGAATTATTTTCGTAGGCATTATCTACAAGACTGAGCTTTGGGTGATTCAGATATATTTTTCTACAATACCGCCAACGTATCCTGGCGAGTCTGAAGTTAGCCGATTACCTGCGCAGTGCACAATTTTATTCCTAAAAGATCCATAGCGCAGACAAACGGCTAACGTCAGACTCGCCAACTCATTTTGTACTATTACACTATTTTTACATATATTAAGAACGATGAAATTCGATGGCCAATTTCAGAGTTACTGTCCCATAGCCGTATTCCAAAAAAAACATTTATCAAACAAATTCGGCACTACCAATTTATACACGATAAATTAATCATGAGAAGTACGAAAGATTGCATATTTCTAAAGCAATTTCTTTCTGCAGATCTGCAACAGGAAATCTATTAACTAAGAGCTAACTAAAATGTTTATGACAATTCTGGTAACGAACTTCGTAACAATTTCATTGTCAAAAATAATTCCAGAATAATTCAATTTTCCTTGTATTGCAAAATATTCAAAATTTTGTATAGGTAATAGTTGTCAAGCTAAATTATGAATGTTATAACAACAAAAAATCGCAAATAATAGCTACATTATATTATTACATAATTTGAATAAAAACTTTGTACGAAATATAATAAATTTGCCTATTTTTCTTGTCATATATTACAAAAAATAAGACTAATAGTTCGTCCTACTAATTATTATTCAAGTATGATTGACACATGCTAAATTACAGCGAGAAAAAATACAATATATGTATATGCGTAACTAAATAAGCCGATTTGAAAATTAACTAACTGCTATTGACGTCATTTTAGCAAACAAAGAATTTTAGTAAAAACTTGGGATTTCTGTAACCTAACAGTAATGCAATTATCTTGTCAATATTTTGAAAATTATATTAAAATGACCTACAAAAAAAATACAATACCTAAACAAAATATAAGAAGACCCTACTTATTTGACAAAACAATACTTTGACAGTTCCCATGTCTGTGTGATGTGATAGCTGTCAATCATAAACAAACAAAATATGTCAAATAAACAAACGTTTTTAAAATTCGATATACATTGTAACTGTACTGAACTTGGTATTATTTGTTCTCCACAGATACGAGCCAATGGATCACTTGCATTCCGGACTTCAACAAGTAAAGACGAAGACAGCGTCCTTATAAGTTAAATAGTGTGAGCGAGACAGCTTATTAGAAAGTGATAACGATATCCGTGTATCGGAGAAAGTGATACAGCGTTTTGTGAGTGCTGAGTTAAGATGACGCCTAGTCCAGAAGATTTGAGTATTTTGGGGGGAAATAATAATGTTGTCCCCCTACTGCCAAGACCTACAGTGGAATTGGAGTTCAGTAACATTACTTGTAACATGAACGTGTTTATAGCCAACAAGCTACGAATTGGTAAGTCTTTGTGGTTTTTTTTTTCTACCTGAGCTTGGGCTCGTTTGTATTTTTTGTGTAGGGTAGAATGAGAAAAGAATGCGAGCGTAACATTTTTAAAGGATGTTTACAATGATGTATAAAACTATAGATACGTTGTCCGCGCTCTAAAATGACAACATGAAATGAAGGCAATTGACAACATCGCGCTTAGTTACGCACCAACCTGCCGCGCGACGCTACGTTTGTTTTTAATTTATATCGTGTGTGTAAACCTGTGCGAAACATAAAGAAAGCATGCCGTCGTGTGTGTTCAGACGATGTACAAATTATACTCCAAAAGTTAAAGACAAAAATGTGTCATTTCATGCGTAAGTTCACCAAACAACCTATTTTTATTTTATTTTTTCGACGCCGGCGCCCGCCATCTTATGGCGGCCGGCGCATGAAGGTATAGTCACGTGCCGATGTAACTGAAGATGTATATTTATCTCCCTCTAGCAAAGGCATTCCACTATACGATGTCATATTTTCTTTCCCTTTCTTTACTCGTAGAAGTAGTTATCTAGTATTTTTGCCGTTTTTAAGCGCCGCGATGTTGGTTCATGACGTGTCTATATATAATACGTCATTGGATGTTTAAATTTTTTTAAAATTATGGTTTTTTTTACTAAGTCATGTATTTATTTGTGTATCATAATGTTTAAAAAGGTGTTACAGAATTGCGTTACATTCAAGCCACAATTATGTACCCGTAAACGTTTAGTACACAGCAAAACTTTAAGTAGGTACACATTTTTAGATACTTAATAAATTACAAATTTATATTCATAATATTAGATAATAATTAAAATTATAAAGTAATCTTTTTAAGGTGTACTAAATATATTACAGATTTATTTACAATTCAGAAATGAATCGTGTCAATTAAGCAGCACTAAAAGGAAGAACCATTAAAAAGAGAAGAAAGTATTTTTATCTTTACTTACTGACCTTTATCACAGTCATGTTGTAATTACATGGCAGCAACCTTAAAAATTGCGATTAAACGTTAGACGTCAAAAAAATAAGGAAACAGTTGAATTTGATAACATTTAGCGACTCCCAGTCTTATCATTTATCGTATCACGCGATTGATTAGAATCTTTTTCAAAGTACATCGATCTTACCTCCTAATTCTTTCTTTTTCATTTTACTGAAAATTAAGAGTTTCAAATTATTTAAGTGTGAGTGAGGTTAACGGAAGCCCATTCCTTCCCCTCCCCCAATCCCTCCCCAAGCCCTTAATCTCCAAATCCCTAATTTCCCAAAAGATCGGCAACACACTCTCTGTTGCAGGTGTCCGGCAGCGCCGGTTACTTACCATCAGGTAATCCGCTTGCTCGTTTGCCGACCTATGCCGGCCATAAAAAAACTGGTTCAGTCAATCAGTTGTTAATTTGCGATTCGGTTTCTCTGGGGTTTACAGTTCTAACCTAACCTATCACTGGTAGCAAACTGTTTTTATGACAATCCCTTCACTCTTCAACTCTCACTCTCAATCAAACGCTTTCATTCAGGGCTTTGTCGAATGGCTAATTTATCTATTTAGCTGCGACATATACAAAAACCTACATAGTTACATGTGGTAAAGTTCCTATGTTAGGGCCATGTTATTCCATTTATATGTAAAAGACTTATTTTAACGATATTTATAAGTACGTAATACAAAAAAGTTTTTATTCAAATACAGTTCTTAATGCTTGACAGAAGAAAAGGACTAGTCTTGAATAGTTATTGCTTACGTTCAAAGGCTTAATTAACAATAAATTGTAACGAGGTATCAATACACGATACTCAATAACTGTAATGCATTTTACATGTTACTGCGTTGGTCGTAAATTCGCTTTGAACATGCAACAAGTAATACTTACTTAAATCAATATCCTATTACCTTCTAGCTTACCCACTTACATTCGTCATTATCTATTTAAGACTGAAACTAGAAAGAGCAGCTATACAATAATTCCTATCATCAACTAGCCCCATGCCAATCCGGTGGACTAGGATCACTAGGACTAGGATGAGGTCTTCTATCACCACACAGACAGATGAATATGAATTTGGAAGTGTAATTCATCAAACCCCAAGCGAATGCGGGCGTTCGCCCTCCTATTCTTATTATATTGTGTCTTGAGTTACCACTATTGAAAGGCTAAAAGGCTTAGCTTTGCTGCCTGGTCCTTTTATACAGGATAGGGAGGATGACCTGGTAGAAAGCATCGCACATAGATAGCCGCAACACTAAAGAAGTTGTTAGTACTTTATCTCTCGACCTTATGCAGTAAAGGGTTTAGCCTTCGGTAGCCTTACTTGCATCCGAAACACAACGGCAGCATTATTTCACGACGGTTTTCTGTGAGATCATGGCATCTATCAGATCGGGGGGAAAGACCTCGACTTTAAAATATGTAATCCCTAATCATCTTTCACGACCGTGGGCAGGTTAAGGGTGGTTTCCACTGTGCATTCATTACATCTATAACTAGCTAAGTTTAGATAGAACTATACAGGTACATATATTATCTAATACGTACCCCTTGACACAGTTATAAAGTACATGAACGAACTAGTATTGGAATCTATCCTTACTACTGACCTACTAGGCAAGCATAGACACGCAATAGATGAACTAGTAGAATACCGGTTTCTATGATATAAATAAAGAAAGATATTAATCTCATTATAATATTTATGTTCGAAGACCGGTCGTTCGGAAGTTCAGTTGTTTGTGAATAAAATATGCAAATAGCTTATGAGTGTTTTTAGGAGTAGTTCTGATCGGATTGTGTTCTATTTGCTGAACTTTTTTCTGTTTAATTGTATCCAAGTCAAATGCGGGCACTGTCTACCACAAAAATAAATCTTTTTCAGCAATCGTTCTAGCATATATTCATTGAAAAACTGCATATTCAGAAATGTCACTCAGTGATCCTAATGAATTATTAGTTCGTATATGTCAGATAAAACTGACACATGTTCTAGGCCTACACATATTTATATTTATAAGGTACAAAAACCCAAATAGTAGACAGAGCCACAACGCCGTAATAAAATTATATAAGCAATGTTGTTCTACTTTTTAAACTTATGTAAGAATGAATATCTCACGGCGGTTGGCACAGTAACCTAGATTTAGTCTTAATTTTGACAAAAATAATATTCGTTTAAGCTAATTATGTATACAGGCTTTGCTCACACCATATTACCCGCTTCTCATGCATATGGTTTGAAATCAAGCAAGTACCAATGTGATTTTTCTTAATATTATATGTAGGTATGTACTTTCTAAGATTATTTAAACACCAATAACATAGTGTGATGGAAAAAGTCGTGAGGAAACAGGAAACTAGGACTTATTGCTCCTGCTTTTACGTTTAAAATCGCCTATACACCATGAGCAAGCGCGGTAATTAATACTCATACCTTGTCCGTTATACTTCAAACATCGTCTTGTGCAGAGAAGTAGCTAACGAATGAATCATATTGTTTACAGTTTCAACTGTAGATAATTCTGTAACAGAAACTAAAGCGGCTGAAAGGAAAATGAAGTCATTCTGTAAACGAGCAACTAGACTGACATCATCAGAAACCTTGAGGAAAAACAAAATAAAAATTTTCCTATTGCCAAGCTTGTTATACGCACTATCTAAACTAAAATTAATAAGCTGAAGAGTTTTTTATCTGTTTGCTTGAACGCACTAATCTCTGGAATTACTGATTCAGTCCATTTATCAAGGAAGCCCTTAAAACAGCGTGGGTGAAACCGCAGTGTACCTAGCTGGTAAAATGTTTGTTTTATTATTAATATCATAATAAGCCCTTTTCGTCCAAAACTGGGCATAAACTTTCTCAATCGAATACGCGACACGTTTAAAGTCGGTCGCCCAGGTACTGACTGAAATAATCATAATTCGAATAGAAAACAACAAATTTAAACTTTCAAAAAACGAACGATCAGAATATCTTACACAAAATTTTGCTTTTAATTATATTTTTCTACGTATATATGTAATTAGGTACCCGATAGGTCAAAAAAACAAAAGTGTGACGACCAAAAGATAAACAAGATGTAATGAAAACAGAAAAAAATGTTCTTCAATACATACTTAGGACACATGTCTTGAGTTAAATGACCCACGTTCTATTATTCCTTTGTTACAAACCCACGATCGTTTTTTTAGGGATGTTTAATTTATTTGTATTGTAAAAATCTGTATTGTGGTCGATCACCAGCCAAAGCATTTTTTTTTTTTTGATACTTTTGAATAACGTATTTCGCAGAACTATAAGACACAATAACATACACTAAATGCATGAAGGAAACAGCCAAAATAAATGACTTCTCTCTCCTTGAATTAGGCGAGAGGGACTGTTAGAATCTTACTGACAAAAATCCAGCCTGTTCATTCTTTCTTCTTCTGCTTCATTACATATGCTCCATTATTGCGCTTGACCTGAGCCCCATCCGTGGTGGTCTGTTGGATCTTTAGTTTTATTTTTAGTCTGATTAGGGACGGGCAGCGAGCTACTCTTGTTCGCCGTCCGCAGACCAGTGCTTACGGTGTCTGAAGATCGTCACGCGATACTTACATTCACGTATAAGAAGTGTTGAATTAATCAAATCTTTCTAAAAGTTTTAAGTCTGAGTTATGGATCAACAAACATTTTTAATGGGATCTGTGATAAATTCTATGAGAGCCCAAACTGCTTAATATTATAAATACTTAGTGGTTATAAAGAAACGATAATTCCCAGTTCTGCTCGACACTGTAAAAAAAATAAACGTGTTACCGTTCTAGAAAAAAAAAACGATTTCATGTTGTAACAGTAAAACAATGAATGTTTCCCAATTCCACCGAAATATGAAACTAAACCAGATTTGGTTAAATGTCAATATTGTGTAGCAACTTGGCCTGCAATAACCTGAACAATTTTTAATTATAATTCAAGGGAATTTATTTTCATTTAAACAGTAAGAATAAAATTGATATTCTTTTCAGTTGATTTATATAATTTCATTGTTCAAAGATTACTAAGAAGTTTGTTGACTGCAGTACCTAACCAATTATAATATTATCAAGAAGTTATTAATTTAGTTTCTCAATAAACATTAATTAAAAATCCATGATATCAATTTTTTTTATCAAAATGCACATTTATCACTTGCTCTTTCACAAAAACTTAGTTTCTCATCTCCAAAATAACCCTGTAATTAAATGGACGAGTTACTACTAGTTTGCTGCCCCGTGTCCATTCACACATACCAATGATGTGGTATCATTGGTATGTGTGCTCCAAAAATACTCTTAAACCACAAAAAGAAACTTGACACAATATTATAAGTGCAATATGTTTCATTATTTACAATTTATACATATATATATACTTATAAAAATAGCCATTTTACATATTACCATAAGATTGATCAGCCTTTAAGCCCTACAAATTGATTACAATGCGACGCATCAAGGTAACATACAATGCGCACGCGCAAGACATGTTGGCAGTGTCGACTTCCGTCGGCTTATGTAACGTAAACGGAAGTATACAATAGTCTTAGTAACAGGCTACAGTTTCAACATACACGCCATCATTTGCATTGAAAATTAAATGAGAAGTTTGTTTGTTTTATAAATTATAAATACATCTATTCATAAACTTATGTATTTTAGACATATTGTATACACACATTTTTAATATACTACTATTTTTTTTTAAATATAATATATGTATAGATACGGATTAGGTAGTTAAAAATAAGTATGTAGTACTTTACGTACGTTCATTTTATTTTCTAAGCAGTAATAAGATCTCCTAAGTAGCAATAAACCTCTTTTGACGCGATCACAGTGACTTAAGTAGAAAAAAAATACATTATTTCATTCATAGAAGAACTAATACTAATCGTAGAAACTTTCACGTTACCAATCTGTAGAGTTCATCACGTTGTTATTGACGTAAGTACATTTTTATCCGACACCTAAACTATTCTATGAAACCTAACTGTGTCAAAATAATCGACCTTTGAATTTCCTAGTTTGGCAATACCTATTACCATCTCAATCCTGACGCAATATACACACCAAAGTAGCAATTTGTCGTATACAAAATAAATGCGAAATCATCATTATTGAGTTAGGCAATGACAAATACGAAAAAACAAAAAAATAACATTATTTGTAAGTATTATTACTTAATAGTCAACTGAGAAAAAATAAAATAGAAAAATTTATTATTGTGTAATGACATCTATTCATTTGCCATTTTGGTCGTTGACTCTTGCCCCTTATTGCTTGTCCGTAGTTATTATATGTATGTAGGTATTACCAAAAAGATTTTGGTTCTAAAAATGCACTAGCATTTTTAGAACTTTTGTTCCTTTCAAGCATAATTTCTCCGGCTAAAATCTAAGATCTATTTTTTATTTTATTGCGATTCCAATTGAATGAAATTACGATGAAAATGTAATCCTTCTTAAAAGGTATTTAATAACACACGTGGCTTTGGGCAATGCTGTTTCCTTATCATCAGCCTGCTCATCTGAGTCATATCTCTATGAATTAAAAAAAAGGCAAGAAACAAGCATGCAACATTCTTTAAAAACAAGAACTCTTTTCAGTAACGGCCAAATGATACAGGCATTTGACTGCAGAGTCGTACGGTGGCTGGACAAATGGCTGCCGCACAACGTGTCGCGGTTTCGATTCCCGCACGGAACAACTTTGTGATCTACAGATTGTTGTTCCGGGTCTGGGTGTGATGTGCATGTGAAATTGTATGTTTGTAAACGCACACACGACATTGCGAGGAGGTTTTTTGTGGGGGGAACGTTTCTTTTTAAATAAAGGCTGGTTCCCAACCTAGATACATTCAAACAACTACATATACAGAGTATTTATGTACGACGCAAAACATTGAATTCACAAACATACGAAATACTCAAAACTAATTAATAATTATCATATTCGATGGCTATTCATAGAAAAACTCCATACGAACTGTCCCCATTAGTAGGGCACTACGTAACACTATGCAATGTTTATGTTTCAATATTCTTACGTATCTTAGTAGGTACTGTCGTACCATGTGTTAACTAACAACATTGGATCCCACGAGAACTTTCTTTACTACTCGATTTGTCATCAAGCAAGGTTACATAAGCCATGTAGCCACTTTCTGAGTAAACTAGGAATGTTCGAGCTTCTACAACTCGCTATCCTCGTCAATATATGATATAACATATTTTTTATTCATTCAAAGAATCTCACTAAGACTTCCCCTTATTTTTCAGTTAGGTTGTTCATTATTAGTCTATAACCGCTCACTGTCCAAAGACATCATCTCACATGGAAAGCGATTTTTGTCATTATACCACGCATGATCAAGGCAAATTGGCAATTTCAAGCTTATAATTAGAAATTATGAGTTCAGGTTTCCTCATGATGTTTTAATGCCAATATGGAGTTTAAGAACGAACATGTATCTCAGAAATTGTCAAATTGGTTCTTGCTAGGTTTCGAATATGTCCTACTTATTCTCACCTTAACTGCAGCCAAGCCGCCACCGTTTTGCTATCCAATTAATTGCTCAAAACTCTCAAATTCCAGATGTAAATAGCCTCTCATGTTAGTCTATTACGCCAAACTACAATCTTCTATTATCATGCAACGATCACCTACGACCCTGACAAACGCCCTTGTTCAGCCTAAAGGGAAACCTGCCCGAAAAACTACAATCCGCAATATTATTTTTCCTTACCAAATATAGCTTAGCACTTAACTAACAAGGTGATTTAGAAGAAGTAAGATTTATCATTATCAATTAGCGGTATATTAGTAGCTTTATCGATAATATCGATTACTAGTTCCAAGGTCGATTAGTCGAATCGATATAACAATATATGTTAATAGCTACGATTTAGTTTGTAGGTCAAGGATAGAAGGTACCTATAAAAATCGTGGCTTAATTCGTTAGCCCGCATACAAGATATATTGTCTAGGCGGTCTAGTTTATCATTGAAGATAAAAAATAGATTATAATGACATCTATAATTTTATTACTTATTTATGATATTAATACTTACTTTGTTAACATTAAAGCAAGGATGAATGTATTCCCAACTCGGAAAAGTTTGCCCTTTTTGCACGGTGAAACAATTTTATCTTTTAATTAAAATTTATATGAAGATGCTAAAATCTTTTATAGTTATACTTATTTTATTGGCTACAGACGATTCGAAAGTTTTATACGTATTTACATACATATGAATGATATCTCCAACCTTGTAAAATAACTGGGAGATAACTTTTAACCTTTGATTTATTACAAAAAGTGTAGTGAGACAGGATTATTTCTTCCACGAAGAGACACTGAGAATTGACTGACGAATACTCAGTTAAAATATGGCAGAAAGACTACGACTAATCTACTAATTACTGCAAAACAAGTACCTACGTTCAAACTAAGTAAATGTCATTTACTTACTTACCTTAAGTAGGTTGTGACGAAATCGTTGAAATACTTTATTTACATCACCTAGACTTGAAGTTTACCTTCGTTTTTTTAATTAATTCGAATGTAAATTGTACCTAATCTTAGTATAAAATTGTGAGAAAGGGAACCTATAAAGAAAGAAAGAAATAATATTTATTTGGGACAAAACGCCTTCGCATAGAATTATCTTGATAAAAATTGCTTTTTCTTTATGACAGAGGCAAACCATCAAGAAACGTCTAGATTTAAAGAAGAAATACAAGAGATTAAAAGAATTTTAGCTCTTTAAAACACAACCCATACACAGGTCTCATAAGAAAGAAAGCTAAATATAACAATAGTAAACAAATCATGGCGAAACCAATGCTAAAAGTATAAGTTTCTACATCATCAGCATCATCAACCTATAAGTGCCAAAGGCATATTCTCACACGGGGGAGGTTGAGCACAACGCTTGCTCAAGGCAGATTGGCGACTTCGAATTTATAATTAGAAATAATACATTATTTAATATTCTCACCATTTAACCAATAAAATTGACACGTAAACGATTATACAACTGACTGTTATCAACTTATCATTTAAAGTGGCTTGTTACACCTGAGAATAAATAAGAATGGCTATGTATTACCAATCACTTCCTTGTTCATTGATGAGACACCCATATGCGCAAACGCACGTAGTCGCCTGCCAATCGATTTTTGCAAATCATAAATTATTTATAACGCCATCTAGTATTGTTTAGCTGTAAATTATTGTTATGAAGGATTTTTGTAGCTCCATGCAAATGGAGATATTAACATCAGTTAATATGTAGATTATCAAAGTTTTGGTTAAACTTAATGTTTCAATTATGTTGATACTGTTATAACACATACTTGCTCATTTATCTATACTTCTATACAATATTATAAAGAGGTAAAATTTGTAAGTTTGTATGTAGGGGGTAATCTTTGAAACAGCTGGTCGGATTGCCAAAATTCTTTCACTCAAAAAAAGTCAAAAATCATTTATTCCAATTAGACCTTTACAGGCACTTTTGAACGTCAAACAAAAATTTTGAAGCTATATTGTCAGTCTGTCGGTCAGTCCTCTTAGTGAAGCTATTTGCTCGTTCCAAAGTGTAGATTCCGATGGAGAAGAACGAGCAAGAATCTCCATGGTTACTCTTTTTAAATCAGTTTCACATACAGATTCTTTTTACAAACAGTTGGTTCACTACCTACGTTCACTGATAGATAGCTACAATGTTCCTGAGTGCTATAGGCTAAAACTAAACTAAAACATCACGCTACAAATAAATGGATCCGAGAAGCGGGTGCAACCGCGCGTTTTGTCTATTTTAATAAAAAAACAATAGGAAAATACTGCATCCATTTTTTTACCTACAATTTTGTAATGGATCATTATTTTGATAATATGATAATTACCTACTATGAGGCAAATAATGTCAAATAGTAAACGCATGAATTGACAGTAATACCATTTTACACGTGATTTTACATGTTGACCGCTACGCTACAAATGTATGGACATAAATAATAAGACATTAATATTAGGCTCATTGTAGTTTAAAGGTTGTTCAAATTATGTTTTAACATTTTTGTAACAAAAAAATCACAATCAACTGTTTATCCTAAGATCAACTATGACAAATATCGACAGAATTTGACATAAGAATCTCACCAGCACCACACGTGAATCTATTGCGAGATTTTTGTTATGACGTCATTTATTCTAAGCAAAATTATTCTTTTAAACTATAAAAATACCTACATTTACAAGTTTTATTATAAAATTAATTATCAAAAGCGTGTGAAATGTGAGAGGTTAGGTAGAAATAATAAATGTTTAACCTCAGAATGTTAAATAATCATCTTATCATTACCTTACACCTCTTAATCCTTGAAGGGTAGACAGTGATGTACCTATACATAAACTAAAAATGTAACAATGTTTTTGTCAAATATATTATTAGTTTCTTATAATAGGGCATATAAAAAGCGTATTGTAACTAGATACACGTAATACAATTAAGTTTTTTTTTAAATACAGTTTTAACACACCAAACCCCCTAGCGAACGTGGGCGTTCGGTTCCCGTACGGGACAACACTTTTTGTCATCCACAAATTGTTTTTCCGGGTCTGGGTGTGATGTGTATGTGAATTTGTGTGTTTGAAAACGCACTCACGACACATGATAAAATTATTCTAATGTAGGGCAATGATTTTTTTTAATTTCGTTCTATTGTGTCTCCGATTACCACGTACCTAACTAAATAAACAAGCAATATTTGAAATAAATAATATCCTATTCTATTTACTATTTCGTTTGCAATAAAGTACCAAATCCTATATCTGACTACGATAAAAATTGGTCCTGTTACTAATAACATGACCTACTAACTTCCTAACAAAGTGAACTTGATCATTAACCTTGAAAAGAAACAAGCATTTCCCCAAGCTTCTAGAATATTAAGTAACTATGTAAGCAATTATACTTATAAGTACAAGTGTTAATTTCATTCATAGTTTTGTAATGCAGTTTGCCGTGCAGCAGACCATGTCGATACATAATTGAATTGTTCGTACATATTGTACATAGCCGATAATACTTTGCCTCGTGACCTAAATATGCTAATACCGTATTTATCAAACACCCACTTGTATCCTTGTTTATTTTTATAATCTTTTATTTAGAAATTAGTCATCATAAATCATAGCTCTGTTGCCCGTTGAATAAGTGCTGTTTTAAATCAAAATAGTAATACAAAAAGTTATATATTTAAAAAGAGTAACGATAGAGTGTTTTGCTCGTTCTTCTCCATTCGAAACTTCAATTTGGTACGAGCACCTAGCTTTACTGACGAACAGACTGGCAGACTACTAGGTATTCTATTTTGACGTTTCAAACGTATCTATTAATAGTTTAGTTGTAATAAATGATTTTGATTTGATTTGATATGTATTTTTAAGGTACCTGTAAATTTATATCAATATAACGGTTGAGGTTCGTTTTTTTTAAAGTGTTTGATAGTATTCTCCCTTTTTGTCCAAGTGGGAAAATATGATATGACTTGTCCCTATCCGCCCTAGGTGAGGTGAGAGAGAATTTCACTTTTCAGTCACCTGGTGTTTGCTCCCGAACCAAACCCCGACTGAAATTACCCCCAAGGAAGTAAAAAGCAAAAAAAATCCCCTTAGATCTCCACGCAAAACGGCATCTCATCACTTACACTAGTCCTCCACGACACTGAAGAAGTTCCCAGTTCACCTAGCACAGGGCCTACCTATGCTAAGCCTTTAGACAAGAAGAAGAAATCAAATTACCCAATTCTTCGATATAAATCAATAAGCTGAACCCATATTACAAAGGATCTAATTACAATACCTTAGACTCCTTTGATTAAAGTGTATAATTATGTTTGTTTACCAAACACGATATTGGCAATCGACCGACATATTGTAACACAACACCGGTATGTATCCTTTAATAACAAACAATCAATAATAGAGGAACATGATACTTAAAGTAAGTTACCGACGCTTACACACACTGGAAAAGGAAGGGAAAACATTAATTTTATACAATATACGTAATGTAATGTTAATCGGTTACCTATAAGTTAAATATTAATGTTTTTTTTTTTTTAATAATAAGACGTCGCCACTCCCTATAAGAAGTTTAACTTTGGCGCATAAACAAGCATACAATTTTGTAAACACATCGCACCCAACACAGATTTGATCTGTGCGTTGGAAGTCAAAAGTAAAAAACATTTTTTTTTTTTCAATTAGACCCTTACACCGTTTTATATTACACAGAGTTGATCTGTGCGTCAAAAGTAAAACTCATTTATTTCAATTACACCCTTATTTACAGGTTCTTTTTAATGTCAAACGAAGCTTCAAGATAAAAATGTCAGTCTGTCTGTGGGTCAGTCCTTTTAGTGAAGCTATTTGCTCGTTCCAAATTGTAGATTCCGATGGAGAAGAACAAGCAAGCAACTCCATGGTTACCTACGCTTTTTCAATCAGATTTACATACACATTCTTTGTTACATTATTAAGTTGGTTCGATCTTGCCCTAACAGAGGCTGATGATGACGAAAATGATGAATTCATGAATAATATCATCATTATCACATCAGAAAAAATCACCGATTTTTCCTAATTGCAACATTAATGATTTGCCATTCCTCATTCATTATGTGGAAATCTGTTAATAAGTACTGAGTGGTGATAATGAAGGTTTCAACCCTGCAGTTAGATTTAATATTTGGGTAGACGGGTTTATGCGATAATTGTAGGCTAAACTAAACGCAGGAAATGATTCATTAGAAATCTTAGTTAGCGTTCATCTAAAATGCCTAGGACAGGCAGGAAACATTAATTGCATGAAGTTGTAAAATGTATGGGCCCTGCATATTAAGCGGTGTACATATCGTTATTTTATCACAATTCCTTAATTATTTTATTAGAAAAACTAGCTACTCTCGCGCGGTTTCACCCGCTGCTCGGCTCCATTTAAACCTAACCTGATGTTTTATAGCCTATAGCACTCAGAAACGTTCCAGCTATCTTTCAGTGAAGAATTTTGGCAATCCGACCAGCAGTTCCAAAGATTACTCCCTACATACAAACTTACAAATTTTACCTCTTTATAATATTAGTATAGATGATCATGTACGCACATTTATACCTTCTGCCACGACTGACCTTAATACTATATAAATATATTATGTGTATTGTCGCTAATGTGACCCACGTCAGCTCTGACTTATCTAAAAATAAATTAATTGGTAATACTTAATTAAAGTTTTAATTAATATGTTTTGTCAACATATGAATTGAATGCAGTTGGCATTGATTATTAAGCGATTATGAAACTTTTTGCACTTCAAAATAGTTATCAAGTGTATAATACATATATTCATATGCAAGTATAGTAAATAAGCAATATATATATATGAAAAAAAGAAGCCTAATTTTTTAGTCTATGGCCGATGCGCGCGCATAGCAAAACTGATAAATTTTTCCCGCCATTACGAAACATTTTTCACAACACGTCTCGTTTCTCTTTTAATGTTTTTTTTATTTAAGTTTAATTTTATTCAGAAATGTGCTGAAAAATGTCGTATAATACACGTGTGTATGGATGATTAGGTACTGTCCTCGGCTGCTTGAGACACTTGCCTGACGGCTCGGGCCTCAATGCGCTTCAGCGGTAATCACCAACATTATATATACACTTGTGTTAGAATGTATTTTTTGCATTTCTTCCAACTACAATCTTTTTACATGATTGAGCAAGGCCATACAATATGTGCAAAAGAAATTATGTTGTAACATACATACATAAATTAAATTATATCAAATACAAAATATTAAATACAATTTAAATGGCACAATGGTTATAAGGTGCCACATTAAACGAATAATGATCGCAAGTCAAAAACAAAATGGACACCCGATAATTTCAATATACGATTTCAACGAAAATCGAATAATAATAAAAATTAATTACGTAAATATTCATTGTTTTCCCTCCTATGTAATTGTAAACAATATACATTCAATTATTGATTTTTTTTTTATTTAATGCCCATTTAAAATTTCTGTAATATGTTATAATTGTATTTTTTTAAATTGCATAATGTACACTGAGTATCTATTAATACGAATTAGCAAAAGAAAAACAAATTAAGTACATCAATTTATTTTCTACGCGATTGAATGCATTTCATTCCAAAAATTACATGCATGACATTACACTACAAACATTGCAATAAGATTATCATACAAATGTTAGGTTTCGAATTTTAAACTATGATGTCATACCCTTTTTTTAAACCTTAACGGTACAACGAACCTCTTCACGGCGATTATAAAAAAAGTAAATAGCATTACAAATTTCGGCATTTAAAACAATAATTGGAATAGTTTATAATAAGGTACGAACAAGGCGACCCTATTCTTATCACCTAACACTTCGTAATATTTTATGTTTAACTATTTTTATCGCACTCGACACTGAATTAAAGTTAGTAGACAAACATACTAATTTGTGCGTAATATCAATGTTTTGTCTATTTTATTTTCTTCATATTTGCCCCACTGCCCGATATGATAAAGGTCTCTTTATACAATCGGTCTAACATTATTCTTTTTATAATATTTATTTATTTTTTATTTCTTCTTCACACAAAACAGTCTGAATGACGGACTTTATGCCTTAAAGCATAAAGTCCTAATAGTCAACCATAGGGTAGCGCAGAGAAATCATCATAATATCTCTAATACAAGTTTAATAATATCTTTAAACTAAATACTAGCAGCTGCCAGTGTCTACCCGCAGAACTAATATAAAAGTAGTGGTATTCCAGACTATAATCTAGTTTTATGACACATATCATGTGGATCCTCCTCAGTACTTTAACGCGTAACAAACATAATAATGTACCAACATTTCTCCATGCATACTTACAAAGTTATAATAAAACATTTTTTTATTAATTTGTGACAGAATTACTTCACAAATTCTGAATGATTATTTTCTATTTATTTTATTCTCACCTTTATATTTTCTTTCGTTACAGAAAATAAGCAGATCCTGAAGGGAGTATCAGGATGCTTCAAGCCGGGACAGCTGACGGCCATCATGGGGCCTTCTGGAGCCGGCAAGACTACACTTCTCAACATTCTAGCTGGTTACTCGTAAGTTTTTTATAGATACACAGTCAGAAGATACTCGTAAACGTCATCAATATCAAAGCAATTGAAAATAAGTAACCACTTTCCCTCGTAGTCCGAGATTGTACGATAGAGTAATTTCTCACTCGTGACACGAAATCGATCAATCGTAATCGTGAATATATTTTATAGGCTAAATTTGGGCGAACATCGTCACTACACTAATGTCGCGGCTTTTAAACTTAGATACTTTTTTCTAGCCTTTCTAACTTCTTTCTAGCCATAAAAGACTTGTTCATGCAAATAAATCCTCCAATAAACTTTGAATTTCCCACGACAGTTGCTACTAAAAGAAAAAAATACGGTTGTAAGATTATACAGAAAAAGTGAAAAATGAAGTCTTTTAGAAATATTTGAAATATCTCAACAGTAACTAAACCTAGGGTCATACCCGCTGAGCAGAGGCAAGAAGAGTAATGTACTTACTTAAAGAGATATAATGTACTTCGAAAAGTCATTGATTACAAATTACCCAATTGACAGCAATATTTATTTTAATGTCAACAGCACTTATTGCAAGGCATGTCAAGGCTCGAATAGATAAGTAAACTTTAAATACAACAAATAAAAAACAAGTATATTATTGTAAAATTACAACACACAATAAATTATGGGTGTGTAAATGTAAACATGGCTGATAAATAGATTCCAGATATGAGATTGCGTTGTTTACCTTAAAGTGCGAATGTCATTGTCTGATAAAAAAAAATCAAAAGAAATGATTAGGGCATAATATACTTATTACTTAACTAGCGCCCCGCCCCGGCTTCGGACGGGTGCAATACTACATTTCTCTATTGTTTAATGGATGTGATTATACATTTAAACCTCTTCAATCACTCACATCCCGTTTCCAAAAAGCCGATCAATGTTAAAATCAATTTAGAGATTAGATAATTTTAGCGTTGACAAGCCTTTCAGAAACCGTGTGTTAATCTATCAAAAACAAAACCGAATCAAAAAATCTTTTGCGTAGTTTGAAAGATTTAAGTATATAACGGCATATAAGGACTTCCATCTTAAGTCCATTCTTTTAAAACCTTAGATCGAAGATATAGCGAATGAATACTAAGTTAAATGAAAAAAGTACGAAATGTCGTGCCACAAAATTGCTCAACATGCCACGACCCGGTTCGGAGCAGAGCAGTTTATACGGGGTAGTTTTTAGTCAGTAAGTGCCTTGGTTTTCACCCTCGCCACATCCATGGCGGCAGAACACATTCGATAATTTTTCCTTCAAAAAAAAAATTGAAGTAACTACGCAGGGAAATTAAAGTAAATTACAAAAAACTAATAGATATACGATATATTTTGAGACATATTAAATATACATTGTCATTATTGTCGTTTTTTTATCTGATTTCCAAAAAGTTGTACTAACTTAAAATACAATTTTTATTAGATAACATTAAATTAATCAAAAAACAATTTATCATTTCGCAACGGCAAAAGCATAATCTCCAAGCAACAAAAAAAATTAATCATTTTCAGTCAAGTCGTTTCCTTGTTTTTGTGACCAAAACAACGGATATAGATTATACGAAGCATCGTACCATTTACTCTCATTATTTGTAGTTCAAAAATTATGACTCACGTGTATTGTGTTCTGTTACAATTATTTTCGAGTTCACCATATGGCTTTTCATTACCTATTTATTATAGTAGGTATAGATATATTTCAATATTTCCAATGTCTCTAAACAATTTAATAGAACGCTGTATTAGTAATAGTCTTGTTGTAAATGCCAATACATAGGTGCAGAACCTTTTAAGCAAACGATTGGTTTTCGGTAATTTCACTGACACGCTTGAAGTTTGGCTCTCCCACACTTAAATATTGCATGCAATGAAGTAATTGAGAATTCAATTTATTAAGTACATAGCTGCTATTCAGATATTATGTATCTAGAAATCCAAAGATCCCTCACTCGTTGTATACTTAAAATTTACTAAATGCAAATTTTAGGGTCTCTAATTACTGAAAGTATGCATATACCTAAATAATTATATGTGCTGCAATGTCTATTAAATCTATAATTTAATTGCATAGTTCATTTGTTTATATAAGATTTGTACAAAGTTAAAAACACTTACGACACGAAAAAGTTGTTAACGTGGTTGCCTCAACGTCTTACCCAAGTCGATGCATGGTGGCATGTTTTCAAATAAGCAGGAGATGCCAGGAGATGGTTTTAGTAGTATCTCTAGCTCTGAGCCGGGATTGAGGTACATTGGCCAATCTAGACAGAGTGCCCTTATGGGCCTCATCTATGGTGGTCTGATAGTTCTCTGAAACCTACGCGCCATACACTCGGGTCTGGTTCTAGTCAGCTATACTTGGTTGCCGTCCGCAGACCGTGGTTAGGGTAGCCGGAGGTCGTCGTGCAATACCGGAGTGTGAGGAGGGTAGTTGAAAGCGTTATTATATTTTTTCTCGAGTCTAAGGGCGTTGCACACATTTTGCGTAAAACAATGTGGTAAATATCCTACAATGTTACACACTAAACGAATTAGCTACGCAGAAGTAATCTCTGCAGTCATATAAATAGACAATTAGTTGCAACACGTCATGACATAAGCAGAAGTTGTAGTTGAAGTGTTTTAAAGTTGTATTTTGTTTGCCACATACATACTATGTGTAAACTTTAACCCACGATAAGAATTGCGGTGTACACTTTGTCCTTTACTGTCCACTCTCATTCATTAAATGACTACTGAATCCAGTCCTTTTTTGAGGAATGAAAATCATCAAGTGATTTTTCTCGCCCTGGATGACACAAGAGAGATTGTCAAAATCATAATGACTAACAAAATCATGAATAAGGAATAGTTTTAGTTAGGGATGGCGGCAATGAGCCGCTTTTGTAAGTACCTAAATATTTTTTAAAGACATAAATGTGCCATATTGTTATTTTGAACTAGCCTTCTGTACTAGCTAATTTCAGTAGTAACAAAGTTTATGAGACCCTGTTAATCCTACAACAGCAAAAACAATTAATAATGAGACCATAATACAGTCTTGCAAGTCTTCTCATGCATGAGGCTCCGGAAGGAAACCGAAACTTACAACTTCTAATTATAAGTTTGAAATCGCCAATCTGCCTTGATTGCTCAAGGCAGATTGGCGATTTCAAACATCGTGATGATTAATGCTCAAGCATTCTCCGTATGAGAAGAGGCCTTTGCTCACTTTGGACACTTATAGGCTGATGATATGATGGAATGTTCGCCATACCTGATGCCTCTGAATACGGCAGTTGGTGTTTCAAATTGTTTTATCAAGTAATTTCTCGCTATCAGTAAAACCTACTTTGTAAGAAATGTATTTGCGTCATCTTTTTTACTGTTACTTATAAAATGTTAATTTTCGTTAATTATATGCAAACGTTGCTGGTAAAACACAGTTTTTAAACTACAAATTACAAATATAAACTTATTACATTGTCTTGTAAGTGATTAACTAAAACAATGTTAGGTACTCATTAAAGCCTTTGTAAAATCCAATGAAATATAATTCCTTAGTCATAAACATTAAATTCAGAAATTTTCCTTATACCTAATTCAAACGTTATTGTTTTCAATAATCCATTAATACGAATGAGGTTTTCACTGAGTTCAAATATCACTTTACCACAAACCTAGGCAAAAATAAACAATAATATGTATGTAGGTATCAATGTACTCATACCCGCTACTACTCATAGCGAGAGGAACTTGGAAGCTGTCTCCTCCTTCTGCGAAGCTGTCATGCTCGCAAAGGAGGAGGCGGAGCGCGCGAGGGAAGTATCTTCCTTGCGCCTCAGCCGCCGCAGAAGGCGACATTCCGGGTATCGGGGATCGAGAGATGATCTCCGGCCACCGTAAGCCCGGGTCTGCGGACGGCGACTAAGAGTAGCTCGCCGCCCGACCTAAGCGTACCTCAAAGAGTCAATAGACCACCACAGACGGGGCCCTATAGGGCTAATGTTCAGCCGGGGTTACGGGGTAAAATCATCGAAAATGACTTCTCCCGCCTAGGGTAAGGCGAGAGAGAGTAATTACTCTTATTGACTAAAACCCCTCCCTTTCTTGTCCTGTTCCTTCTCCTGCTCTGAGCCGAGCCCGGGGTGCCACATTGCGCTTACCCCGCAACCCCGGCTAACGTGAGAAAACCTGGACTTTTAATTTCTCACTAATAGCTTGAAATCGCCAATCAGTTTTGAGCAAGCGTAGTGTTCTTCAAACTTTCTCTGTGTGAGAAGATGCCATTGCTCAGTAGTAGATAATTATAGGCTGATGATGTACTGAATCAATCTTATTTTTGGTATCCCATATACATACATAACTGTGCAGACTATACTTAAATCTACTTAACAAGGGATGTGTCACAAAAGGATGTTAGTGTGCGTTTATTGTGTGTTTGTGACTGGCAGTCCGCTAGTTATTCTCAATTATAACATAAAACAACAAAACAAACCAAGAATTTTATGATTGTTCCATGATTATTGCTACCTGCATGATGGTAGGTAATTGATATGCACATGGTAACAAACAAATTAGTTAGTCAACAACTCCGTTAGCGACCTTTTTTTAATTCGTACCTAGATGTAGATTAGTTCGATAGCGTCAGAAATCGAACGTTTAAACCATTTTACCTCATTATATCCACGACACTCGACATAAGTACTTGATGTCATGTGTCGTGGATAAATCGTCTTTAGAAAGTCGAAACTTTCATATTCAAACTATTCTCAAAACAATTAATTGGAAATAACAGTAAATAATGTGATTATATATTATATTCTCCTGATAATAAATTTTCAAAACAAACCATAGACAAAATATTTATCTCTCTTTTTCGAAATTCAAACCCGATAATACTTAATGATTATATATTTTTCTTTTGTCCTTAGAACGCGTGGTGCGAAAGGCGAGATATCTGTAAACGGGATATGCGCATGCGCCTCAAAGTCGACTGGCCGCGGAGGAGCGCGCTACATCAGACAGCACGATGATCTTCGTGAGCACCTCACAGTGTACGAAGCCATGTCTCTTGCTGCTGCATTGAAACTGGCTGATTTTAATGCTCATGAAAGGAAAGAAAAGGTAATATTTATGTGAAAATTTTACCATTATGCATACATCATCATTATAATAAGCACAATAATATACCATGGCCCGGGTCGGAACAGGAATTCAAAAGGGGTGGTGACTCGGAGTCTGACACTCTCTCTCGTCACAAGGATTGCAAACTCGTAGGATACCGTACAAGCAACGCTTATTGTACGAGAGCCCCCTTAAATATTTCTTTAATTCTTTTGTTAGTGCCTATTAGCGATAAATCATCTGACCAAACTTCAACTGTTCTATTGTGAAACTGACTCATGAGAATTGTGAAACTGTTTGAAAGAGAGTAACCATGAATCTACATTGTGGAACGAGCAAATAGCTTCACTAACGCTTCACGGCAGATGGAGACGATATAACTTTACATTTTTTATTAACATTTAAAAGCCTAAAGCCTATAATTGTGGTCTATTTGAAATAAACGTTTGACATTGACTTCGAAATCAGACAGACAGTGAGAGCAAACGCGGTATCTTAGTACTTAATAGGGTTCCTGTTTTTACCCTTCATCGGTCACCCATTTCTTTTGATACGGAAACCTAAAAACTATACTTGTACCACCACTTATAAAAATATGAATTTTGAGTGAAAATTAGGTTAGGCAGAAAGTTCAAATACGTTTCAAATAAGTGTCAATTATAAAAGTAAACTGCGAATTCTTCATAGAAAGTGACTAATATTCGCAGCATTATTCACGCTTTTAACAATCACGTGTGAAACCACGTGTACACGAATCGGCAGTTACTTTTACAATTGACGATCGCCAATTTGATTGGAGCTTCAATTGTTTGTAAATGGTGTGCCTTGATGTAATTGAACTCGATATTCGTAGATTCGATGTTGTGCTACTTTCTGATAGTGAAATTCTGCAATGATTTTGTGATACTTGGTCTTTAATTTGTATAAACACGAAAGAAAAAAATATGTAGAAATATTAAAAAACAAGCCTTAAGAGTATTGAATTGGCAGTCATTGCCAATTCAATTCCAAGGCCCAAAGCCTATTCTTTATTCTAAAATAATAGAATTCAATAATTTATTGAAGGCATAATATTTTCTTTTTTCTTTCTTAAAAAAACGTCTTCTCGTGTCTCGAGGGTGTGTTTACAAACATACAATTTCACACAACGTGTTATTCCGTGCAGGAATAGAACCCGCAACACGTTGTACAGTGGCCAATAGCGCAGCCACTGCTCCAACCATGCAGTCAAAAATATCATTAAAAAAACAGAAAACTAACACACATTAACACAAATAAAAAAAATTAACAATCAACTGAAAAAAACTTTCCTTCCAGGTGCACGAAATCCTCTCATTATTAGGTTTGAGTAATACATCTATAACTCTCTGCCGGGACTTATCCGGAGGTCAAAGGAGGCGACTGGCTGTGGCCTTGGAACTACTCTCTGACCCCTCGCTCATGTTCCTCGATGAACCTACCACGTAAGTAAATCCTGACTTTTTATTTAATATGTCGGCAAACGAGCTTACGGATTACCTGATGGTAAGCAATCAGCGCCGCCCATGGACACTCGCAACGGAGGAGTTACGAGTGCGTTGCCGACCTTTTAGGGATTAGGGATTTGGAGATTTAGGGATTTAGGAGGGATTGGGGGAGGGAAAGGATTGGGCCTTTATATAATAGGTCTCTTGTACTTTCATCTGTATTAATTCCCTTGTTTCAAATGTACACCATTATGCATTGTGTCGTGGGTGCGTTTACAAACATAGGTACAATTTCCCATACACATAACACCCAGACTCGGGCCAATTTGTGGATCACACAAAGAGTTGTTTCGTGCGGGATCGTAACAGCAACACGTTGCGCGGCAGCCCGTTGTATCCCCACCGCCCTAACATAACAGTACAGTCAATATGATATATTTATAATCTTGATAATTCAAATAAAGTTCAAATTAAATAAATGTCCTGCCTTCGATAAGATTGTTTTTGTAACTAGTAATATACAGTAAACAAGACTGTCCTTTCCATTCCACCTTTTCCATAATGGGTAAAGTAATATTGGATTTTACGACCTTATCTGTAGTGATGCCTTTAAGAGAATAATGTTGATACATTATGATGATAATCCTAGTTTTTCCTAGTTAATTTGCAAATCTAGTTCTATCTCATTATCAAAATAAAAATATTTTTCTTGGTATGTATAAATCTATAGGCAATATGAGTAGGCAACATGGTATCAAATTACTTAGACTATCAGCTATCTACTAAATATCAACAACTATCAACTAGAAAAGAAAGCTTAGTCATAAGGTGAATGACATCTCAGAGGTAGCCCTATAAGAAAATACATGTATGTTTAACCAGAAAAACTTGATTTCAATTGTTCTGGTACATAATAAAGACTACTTTAGATGTACTCCACACAAGTTACTTAAAAGTGTACTAAACTCAACTTAAACAAAAGATGATTGTCCCATGGCCTGTTCTCAATTACGATCCTAATTAGCTACTAAAACATTTAAACCAAAGTCAAAACAGTTAATGGCTTTACAACTGCTCCACATCACGTAATTCTCAGGGTCATCGTTTTCCGTCAAAGTCATGGTACAGTCGGCTGGTCAATGCATTAGTTCTGACCTTCATTATGTCCGTATTCCGCAAACATTAGGACTAGAACCTTGATCGAATTTTACTTATAATATCGTATGTACGTTGCTCAGAATACAGAACACGTTGCTGTGTTTCGTTTCTCTTCTAGTTCTAAATTGTCATCAACATCAACATAAATAGCCTTTAGTAGTTCATGGGCAAACTCAGCTCATTAAAGTTGATATTTCTAGACCGGACAGAAATCTAAAAAGGTTCGAGTTTTTATACCGCTTAGTCTATGTCTAACGTGTGATTTTTTGGCTACCTATCCCGTGGAAAGCGTAGAGTAGTGAAATACAGTATTCTAATTCCCGTCACTTGTAGGACTGCTAGCCATACAGCCCTTAAGTGATTTCAATGATTAAAATCATAGTTTCTGATACTACGATAAATGACAGACTAGAACCGATTAGGTCAATATTTTCGAGTAATTAAACGTTGAATGTATACAATGAGGGTTTAATACATTTGAATAATCACTGTTGGACATTAATTTAATTTTTTCCCTTGTAGTAGTTTTAGTTTTAATTTACCGGCATTTAGGTACGATTTCTCCATACCAACATACACTTTTAGGTTTTTATTTATACTTAATAGCCAAGACCTACTTAATATATGGTATTTAAGTGGCACCATGCAAAATGCCGTCTTCTAACTTGGGTAATGATGAGATTTCCAGATTAGATATGATTTGTTTTGCCAAACAATGGTGTATTGTCATAAAAATCGGCCACGGACAAGATGACGCAGAATCTCCGCTATTTTACTTGCTTTAAGGAAAATCATTGGCTTGACATTGACTTTCAGATATACCCTGGCTACTTGTAACCAACATAATATGTTTAGTTAGTTTTGTTTACGTCCTAACGTAAGCCCCATCCTTCCCCATTATATTATTTATCTTTACCTTCTTGGTTTTACTACGTAGTATTAGCGTGCGTTCGTGCAGCGGAATGTTGTTGAATTTAAAGATTTTAATTATGCAGATATTTAGTGTATGAGGTCGTATAATTGTGTATGGTAAAATAAAATTTGTGCACGCAACCATTGTGGAGAAATTCACCAAAAACTGATTCCGCTGGGCGAACGTTGTCCTGGCGGAACTTTTTTTAATCCATAGACTTTAGAAGAAAAGAGATGAATCCAAAAATTAGTGTGTATTTGTGTGTAATTGTGTATGTATGAATAAAACTAGTACATGCATAAACTTCGGAGAAATTCAAGTTTCCGCTACGCGAACGTTTGGCCATTAGCTAGTTTTCATATAAAGCGCCTACATAGAGAGCTGTAGATTTTTACATACGTTGTTTTGAATTTGTTTATATTTGTTTAAAAAACAGATTTAGAAAAAATCGTAGGGTTTAAAAGATAAAAATATAAACGTAAAATACGCTTATTAGGTCTTAGTTCTTAAAGTATGCACTTTGGGGTCTAGATTTTCACGTTTATACAAACCTTGTAAGTGTCTGCAGCATGTTGCCAAGTATCAATGATGTTCCGTTAGTAATTAAATAGTTATAGGACAAATTTACCATGAATAGATCACTGTTTACAAAGCAGTCAAATATCACGACTTTCTAAATGAATTGCATGGTAAAATGTATGCCAATAATTAGTGTATTCATTCAACTATTCACATGCAAAATTTCATGTCTTTAAATTCAGCAATTAAAGAAAAACAATTATAATACTGACGAAGCATCGAAAACCTACATAACCCGACCAAGTTCGGATGACTACAAAAAAGCGGCCGTGCCATATATCTAAGAAACGTTCTTAACTTTTCAATATAGCATTTATTAATATGGTTCAGTATCGTACACAAGCGTTAGGAAAAAATAAAACACAGTATCGTACACAGGCTCGTGCATGCCTAGTCTATTGGTTAAATAGTGTAATAAAAAATATTGGATAAATAGTGCAATAAGCTACAATATGATAAATATTTACCTAAACAGAAGTACATACCTACTTACAAGTGGTAAATATTTAATTTCCCTAAGGGGTCTATAATTAGAATCCTGATCTGTGAAATCTTCAATATGCTGAATGCTGTATAAATTTTATTTGTCTTAAATATAATTAGATTATATCTCAAGTCTCAAGCGCATACTTAAATAAAGTACCTACGTAAATAGTACCTACTTTCTGTCATAGTCAAATACATTTAGATAAGTGGGTGTCCAAAAATAAATGACCTATAAATTATTCCGAAACAACAAGTGTGTTATCACCTGTACAAATTTAAAACCGGTATTATACTGTAAATTTTGGGATGTTACCTAAACATATTGCACAGCCGCTTTTTTGTAGCCATCCGAACTTGGTCGGGTTATGTAGGTTTTCGATGCTTCGTCAGTATTATAATTGTTTTTCTTTAATTGCTGAATTTAAAGACATGAAATTTTGCATGTGAATAGTTGAATGAATACACTAATTATTGGCATACATTTTACCATGCAATTCATTTAGAAAGTCGTGATATTTGACTGCTTTGTAAACAGTGATCTATTCATGGTAAATTTGTCCTATAACTATTTAATTACTAACGGAACATCATTGATACTTGGCAACATGCTGCAGACACTTACAAGGTTTGTATAAACGTGAAAATCTAGACCCCAAAGTGCATACTTTAAGAACTAAGACCTAATAAGCGTATTTTACGTTTATATTTTTATCTTTTAAACCCTACGATTTTTTCTAAATCTGTTTTTTAAACAAATATAAACAAATTCAAAACAACGTATGTAAAAATCTACAGCTCTCTATGTAAGCGCTTTATATGAAAACTAGCTAATGGCCAAACGTTCGCGTAGCGGAAACTTGAATTTCTCCGAAGTTTATGCATGTACTAGTTTTATTCATACATACACAATTACACACAAATACACACTAATTTTTGGATACATCTCTTTTCTTCTAAAGTCTATGGATTAAAAAAAGTTCCGCCAGGACAACGTTCGCCCAGCGGAATCAGTTTTTGGTGAATTTCTCCACAATGGTTGCGTGCACAAATTTTATTTTACCATACACAATTATACGACCTCATACACTAAATATCTGCATAATTAAAATCTTTAAATTCAACAACATTCCGCTGCACGAACGCACGCGTAGTATTAAACAAAGTCGCTTTCTCTTTCCCTATATCCATATGTAGGCTTAAATATTGAAAACTGCTCAACGAATTTTGATGTTGTTTTTTCATTAGCCAAAGTGATAGAAGGTTTATGTAATAAAATCCAATAAAGAGTGCATAAATTAAGTATCCGCATTGCACATTTGAGAAGTTCTGGCTTCTCAAATATGCAATGCGGATTGCTAGTTCTAGTCTACATAACTTATTATAGAGAAAACCACTGAATGAGTTACGACATTCATTAATTAGGCAGACACAAACCGAGTCAATCCTAATCCACCAATTAATCTGTGTAGCGGAAACTAAGCTACTAAACCACTTCAATACTAGATATAGTATATAACTGGGATCAATTCTAGAATTGCAACATATACATATATATTGCAATATATACATATGTTTTATAATAACTATCGTGAGACATACTAAATTAACTAAAAATCGCGGGTTTCTCACGTGTATATATTATATTATACGATTTTTATTTAATATACACATCTATCACGCCAATAGCGTATTTTTGAATTTCAAAAAGCTGTTCCATTTTTTAAACTTCTTTGTTTTTCACAGCGGTTTAGATTCATCAGCTTCAGCATCTCTAATTGCTCTGCTGAATAACCTCGCGAGGGGTGGGAGGACGCTCATAGCCACCATCCACCAGCCTTCAGCCCTCATCTTCGAGAAGATTGACACAGTGTACTGCTTGCAAGCAGGGATGACGTTGTATAATGGACCCAGAAGTAGCTTGGTGCCAGCTCTAGCCAGTGCCGGGATGACGTGCCCACCATACCATAACCCAGCTGATTTCTGTAAGTAAAGTCAAAGTCATAATCATTTATTCTAACTAAACTATAAATAGGTGTACTTTTCAATTGTCTAAACAGAATAACACCCGGTTTCCGAAAGGTCGATCAATGTTAAAACCAATTTTATCTCTTGTCAAATCATCTGATTGGTTGACTGAATTATCAACAACCAATCAGATGATTTGACAAGAGATTTAACACCTAGTTAGTTGATTTTAACATTGATCGGGCTTTAAACCGGGCATAAGTCTGTCAAGCTGGTCATCAGTGAAACTAGGTGCTCATTCTAAAGTGTAGATTTGAATGGAAAAGAACGAGCAAGAAACTCCATCGTACCTCTTTTTTTTAATTTATTTTTTATGAATTTACCATTACATTATTTAATACACATTGTTAAAAAAATAATAATAAAATATGGAGAAATGTTTGTTTCTGGTATTTCATAAACAAAACAGGCTACAATGAAAGCAGCGTTAAAAACCTAAGACTATAGTTAATTAACAATTAGTTTCCTTATTTTACGACACACGAATTTATAAAGTTATAATATATAGTATTAGTATGTTATAAGTATTATTCTGCCTTACACTCTAAATTTTATTGCAAAGCGAAGCCTTGCATTACAAAAAATCTATTTATAGCGAATATTCATTTTGATTGAAAAAACATACTCTGACTTAACAAATGATAAAAATAAAAATACTCACATCAGTTGATTATGAGCTATACGGTTAGACACATAAAATACATTATTAAACGGAATTATTGATTAATAACGGACTTTGTAACAAGGTGAGTTCGATTTTTCTGCTGATTAGTATGACCTATAAATATGTCGCAGCCCTTTTGCGCAACCAATTACACAACTAGACTCAGTTTGATTGAAATTGTACCAACAAGATAATATTTAAATTAGTAAATAGATAGTCGGAAAATATTTTTTATTAAATTTGTTTATTTCAACATTGCCACATACTAGGGTTTTCTCCTGTGTCGTGCATTTACAAACATAAAAAGTCACATACACAAAAAGCAAACAATATATGTATCACAAAGTGTTCATGGCAGCCAGTTGCCAAGCTACTGAGCCAACCGTGCAGTCAAAAAATATCTCATGCATACAACAGTCTAGTCAAGTAGTCAACTGTTTCCAGAATATAAAGAATGAAGAAAATATACAAATTAAAGGGATTCTATAAATCGTACTCGAAAGTAAGTTGTATTAGTTAGTCACAAGGTTAACATTAGCTTGCCATGTGTTATTTATTTGTATTTTATACATCGATATGAGTATCACATTAGGTTCGTAGTTCGACAAATATGGATACCTGATCAGAACATCAAAGCACACGAATCGAATATTTAAATACCCCGTCCATGTCTATACATCATCCTCATTAATTTACTCAAGTCTATCAAACCTATAGCTACAATAGATTTTCAAACAAATTGTCCTTTATTTAAAGTTTAAAATAAATTTAAAGAGTTACACGTACATAAGTAATCATTGTTATACGCACTTGGTTTAATTGTCTATCAATCCATACTGTTAGACAGTTGAAACTATTGACAGTAATTTACGATCAATTTATACAAATTATTGTATTGATAGCAGTATAAAATTATTTCAAAAACATTAAGTTAAAACTAGCAAGGTAATTATTTCTCTTAAAAATCTCTTATATCTAGAAAAAATTGAGTCAAGTCTACGGTTCGTTACTGCAATTTTTTTTTATTGTAATTTATTCTATGTGACTGCTAATGTGTAGTTCTAGCCTCATCCGTTTGAATTTTTGAAAAACCAGTACTGTTGTATGTGCACATCATCTCAAATCATATTGAGTTCCTTAGAAACAAATGCCCCTTTTATGTAATCAGTGCCTACTAGAAAGTTATACACACAAGTTTTTAAGTCGACTATTACGCACATGATCCATGGCTTCCTCATTTTGTGCACAAATTACATAACAGAAGGGCAAGAAAAGGGGTGTTTACATAATGACCTGGTCTCCCAACCCACACAATTTAATTTGCATAGAAAATGATAGATATTTACCTCTTGCATCTTTAATTCAATTTTTTATTTATCAAAACCATTAAATACTTGCTTCTAACTTCTCCAAACGAAAAAAGGACTAAAATACTAAACTAAATATAAAAAATAGGATTATGATCAAAATCTATCTTTTGATAAATCCAAGATTAATATTAAGACCAGCCAATTTACCATTTTTAATTTATTCAGTCACCCCAGTGACGATCGTCAGCTCGGCATTTCTGTTTTTTTTATGTGATAGATAGATCGGCAAACGAGCAGACACGTTACCTAATGGTAAGCAATCGGCGCTACCCATGGACACCCGCAACAACAGGGAAATTACTAGTGCGTTGCCGACCTTTTGAGGATTAGGGATTCGGAAATCTAGGGATTGGGGAGGGGAGAATTGGGTCTCCGGTAACCTCACTCACAAGCGAAACAAAACGCTGCGCTGGTTTTCTGTAAGGCCGTGGCATCACTCCGACCCATTGGTGCCGAAGGCTCTCCCACACTGAAGCTGTCTGTGAGTGAACTTAGATCCACATAGATACAATGTATACAAATAACTCATTATTGACGGCTGTAGATGAAACAGGAAATGTTCATAGAAATGATTTATGTAATCACGATCTTTCAGTGTTATGAAAACGTTACGTCACTGTTCAAGATTTTATTGATACTTTTCTACCTTAACATTGTCCACTGTCAGAGGATAAAGGTATGCATTTCAATGGTCTTGTTTATAGAAATGAACCACGTGTTTAACAACTTTCTTTAATACTTACTTAAGAGCTAAGTTTAAAAAACAGTAAAATGTTCAAGTTATGGAAACTTGAAAATTATAACACCATTTCTCTGTACACTTAATATTATGTAAGACTTAAAAAAAGGAATTGTCCCTAATTAACTTCGTAGAATTTGATATGTTGAGTATGAGCACTGAGTTTATTAGTTAGTACAGTACATATTATAATATACAGTATACTCGTGTGTTAATCGGTATAGTTTTTTCCAAGATTTTACACTCTTAAGTAAAGAAGAAACATTTCAGTTTTCTATCAATTTCTTTAACTTTTATAGAACGAGGTCATCATTTATTATTAACTAGCTATTGTCCGCGACCTCGTTCGCGTGGAATAGTGACATCACAAATTTTTATTTTCCCCACATAGTTCCTGATCTCGCGGGGTCCTTTCTCAAGTTCTAAACAAATCTCGAGTTCAACTATGTCCGTTCCTAATTTCACACAAATCGGTCCAGTAGTTTAGGCGTGAAGAAAAGACAGACAGACATACAGACAGACAGAGTTACTTTCGCATTTACAATATTAGTTTGGAATTTTGGATTTTGTTTTATGCAAAGAACGTTTACACGCTGTACTCAGAGTAATTTACTTAAGGGCCTCGACATCTATTTCAGAAACAAAAGAGTTCCTAAGGAATAGATTAATTAATCATTAAATGTTCCTAATTCATAGTTAAAGTAGAATTATCCTTAAGTCAATTCGATCTAAAACCTTCTAACAATAACCTGGTACTGACCAATAATCATGTCTAATTAAGGTCATGTTTATATCTGTTTATAAGATAGGATACTAAATAGGCCTATTAATTACGTAGATAATGGAATCTTTTATTAGACATGAAAGAACGGGTTGCCAACTACCAAAAAAAATTATAAATTGCTTTATTTTTCCAAGATATTTAATTAGATTTTTTTCGGAGAAAGTTATTTTAGATTAAAGTTTCCATTTCCTTACCTTGAATACGTGTACAATACACAATCGATTATGTTATAAATAATAAATAACAAACAAGAAAATATATTTCTATGTCCAATAAAACATTAATCCAATAATTCCCCTCTTTTCAGTAATGGAAGTTGCATCAGGTGAATACGACGTAGATTTGGTGAAAAGCGCTCAAATTATGAGCCGGTTTAAACCAGATCTAACTGCCAATGGCAACGGCAGTTGGGAAAGCCACATTCCTACTATACCAGCACTGCCCAGCCCTCTAGGTAAGTACTTCAGACCGAGTTAGACCTAATAACTTAAGTAATAAAACTGGTTTTCCACTTTAAAGAGACCCGTGGAAAAGTCTATCTGACATATAGCGCACAGGGTCTTGAATTATTGTATAAATTAAAACTAACGATAATTCTTCTTGTTTAATTTATAGGTACTTGTGACGAGACTATTGCCTTGGTTTTTAAAATGATTGAATTATAAAAGTTTAGTGTGTATTCAATGTACCATTTTGAAGGATTTTGATAGGACAATAAAAATTAAAATATTTGTTAAAGTATTAAGGTTATATTTTTGATAAATTAACTAACATTAACGACTTCCTTTCCAGATATACGATCAGATTTGAAACAAAAACAGTCGTTACTGAGCCCAGACTACAAACAGCGAAAACTGTCGAAGAATATCTACAGACAATCTGGACTATTGCGACAAACATGGATTCTTTTATATAGGAACTACTTAATGACTACAAGAAACTATGTAAGTACTTAAAGTTTCCAAAATTAAATTCTTAATAATATGATAGGCCAAAAAAGAATCCCATCGTTCGAATTACTAAGTTCTATAATCTTCTTTTTTTATTGGGATATAAAAGATAAAACAGTTATGTTACAATTTTGGTAAACAATGAACTAGAGTAACAAAGGTAAACAAGTAACTGACACCAATGACCGTGGAATAAACTATTGTGGAGAAATAAAACAGAACCACGCATCTACTAGAGTAGAAGCAATTCTTCTTAATTTAGTTTGAGATTGCGAGAACATATCAAGATCGATTTGTCCAAATTGAATAAGCCCTAAATGACGTCGGTAAAAAGAAGCTATAATCAACTTACGCATTCATATTGACGCTAAATATGTATATGCATTTGTAGATTCCCTTAGAATAATTCAACGCCACTTTAAAACATGTTCGATAAAGTAATGACATTTCGTCCTAACTACAAAAAAAAAAACATTAAATATAAAGAATTGTCCGATTTCAGGCACGCCTTTTGCAATAGATTTTTAGGTACAAATAAATGGGCTAGCTCATCGTCCACCTATCACCCTGACCCATTGTTATCGCTGAGTATTTCAAAACTAACCGAACAATACTTAAATCGAGTATAATACTAGTGCATAATAAAAATGAATAATTGGCACATATTTTATCTGCATATTTTTTAATTTCTCAATGATAAATTTAAAGATGTATTTAGTTGGAAGAATCATAATATATCTACATCCAACTTATTTCTTGATTTTTAACTAGGTACTAAATAAGTTATCTCAAATCACGCGAGGTTGACCCACCGCATGTCTCATAATAAAATCATATTTTATCTATAGTCACGTGTTGAGAAACGTGTAAAACCTTAAACTTCTTGTTAAAAAACAAATAAAAATGTAGATAAAAAATCGGCCCATATTTTTTGCTTTCTAATTAACGGAAACTTTAGTAGGTTAAACAGTTGAAAGGGCAATCAAATAGGTGAAATCATTTTGTTGGTCTAAAAAAGGCATGATTATTAAAATGACATGATTTCGAAGAGTAAAATAATACTGAAGTCTTTATTTTTAATTAGCTTCCGCTCGCTTTGCACGCGTATAAAAGTAATGTGACCCGAAATTTTAAGAACAGCAGCAGTGAAAGAATATTGGAAATCCGACCAGCGAGCGATTCCAAAAATTACTCCCTACATACAAACTTACAAATTTTACCTCTTTACAATATTAGTATTTGTAGATGTATGATGAAATAAGGTTAAATTTTAATGTCCCTGCAGTGGACCTCCACTGCAATTTCCACCTTACCAGTTTCCCTGCCATTATTATTAAAATATCAGTGATCTTTTCAAATTTCGTTTTATTTGGCTCTTGCCAAAAAATTTAAAACATTAAACAACTCGTGGAACATTAAACAAATCTTGGTGCCATCAAAGTCAATAAAATATACATTTTAGATTAGCTTAGGTTAGATTTTATAACAATAAAAACACGAAACACGTATATACGAAATATTTAATAATAAAACTAAGAGTTTTTTTCTATAATTTCCAGTCTTTATTCATGTACCGTGTTGCTGCGCATGTGGTGATCGCTCTTATCTTCGGCTACTTGTATCTTGGGGTGGGCAGTGAAGCAGGCTCTGTGCTTGGCAACTACGTCTACCTGTATGGATCTATGCTGCTTGTCGTCTACACTGGAAAAATGTCTGTCACTTTATCATGTAAGTATTAAAAATAATAATCATTGCAATTACATGATACGCAATAGTCCTCAAAAAATACACACTATTATTTTGTCAACATAGGTACACTCGTTGATATACTATTATGAACTATGTGACAATGCTATTTATGGGAGGGTGTGAAGTATATTTTAATGGACAACCGTGAAACATTGTGTATTTATTGTACACAACGACTTACTCGAGTTAATTCAACGAGATAACTCTACCAAGGCACAACAGGACTCTTGTTCATGAAGCGGAGTAGGGTCGTTGTTTTCAATAAACGTGGTGTGATGTATAATTTTAGGTCCACTAAATTTACTTTAAAAAAAACAATGCCTCACACTAGGCTTTTCACCTGTATCGTGGGCGTGTTTATAAACATACAATTTCCATAGCCATAGTAGTTATTAAAAAAACATAGTACCTGTGTCTACTGAAACTGTATCTATTATTTTTCAAAGCCTTGAAGATTAGATTTTATGTATTTTTTTTTTGAGATACGAGATATTGTTAATTTGTAATGCAATCAATCATTTGACGTTTGTGTATTTGAAAACTGATTAGATTTATTTTTTTCTGTTGAACTTGTAATCAAAATTTTTGTCCTGATAATATAATGTGAACATATTTTATCACGTGTGTGTACTTACCTACCTAAACACAAAATCACGTGAGCGCTTCAATATGAATTTATTCAAACATAAATTTATTTATGCGACTTTATAATATGTAAATGCATAAATATATGTTTTATTTCTTGGTAATACGGTACATAATAAATCCTTATAATGCAAAGATATAATTATATAAATACAATTCATTTATGGAAAATAAAATTCCTCTAGATATTATGTATTTATGGATTGTAATTTACATAAACGTGTATGTACAGCGTGATTCTCGAGTAGGTCAAAGTTTTATTGAATTTTAATTTCCCTTTATTTTATTTTTACTAGCTAACTTGATGATGGTAAGCAATCAGCGCCGCCCATTGAAACCCGCAACACCAAAGAAGTTGTAAATGCGTTGCCGGTATTTTAGGAATGAGGGTTTAAACACCACACTGTGGTTATTCGCACCGATTTTCTGTGAGGCCATGGTATCACTTCGGTCAATATAATGTTAAAGTATGGTAATAGATTCTTCCACGAGACTCTATTATAGTAAATAATGTGTGATGTAACTTGTTTAACATAATGGTATAGTCTAGTATTTTATTAATACTGTCTATAACCCTGAATAAAAACATTATTATGTAATGCTATGTTTAGAAATCCAATTGAACATCTCCATAACATAGCACAAACTGGTAGTTTCTAATTACTTAGATTCAATACTTTGATTATAATGTCGAAAACGAAACATTTCTTTGTATTTGATGTGAAATCGCAACATACGACGTCATACATACTGCACTACATACTCCATACAATATATTCTAAATACTATTACTATGCTATCATAATCATAGTAAGTTTATTTACACAACCAAGATCTATTCTATTAGTAATTACAATATTGGCTTGATAACTATTTCTGAAAAATGTGCTACATAAAATCTAAAATCAATTATATCGTGAAATCAATAAATAAATGGATAACTTTAACTTTAATTACATTTATAAATGAATGAATGAATCATTAATATATAAATAAAATTATTTATTTTTAATAAATAATATTTATTAAAAATAATTTAATTTTGATCTAAACCTACCCAACCAAACTACCCAATTATAATCAGAAACTTTTGTTTTCAGTTCCCTTAGAAATGGATATTTTGAGAGGAGAGTACTTCAATCGCTGGTACAACTTAGGACCTTACATAGTTTCAATATTAGCCGTGGAATTGCCGTTCCAGGTGAGTTTTAAAAACTATTCATTTAACTTACAATAATAATGAAACTGGAAATATGTTAATATCTACAGAAAGCCGATCTTTTTGAGATTGTGTTTTAGAAGTCGTTGTTGTTGAAATCTAAAGGAAGAAAAATAAAGGTTTCTAGTCAAAACTCAATCCAAACTAATATTATAAATGAGAAAGTAACTCTATCTGTCTGTCTTTTCTTTACGCCTAAACTACTAAACTGATTTCTGTGAAATTTGGTACAGACATAGTTTGGAACTAGAGAAAGGACATAGAATAGTTTCAGTCACTGTTCCGCGCGAACGGAGTCGCTGGCAAAAGCACTATACTTTATTAGCATTCCATATGATATACACAGGTGGTATTTTTCATTTCAAAGTTTAGCATTTCTATCTTAAAAATATATCTAGTACTCACGCCCTTTATGAGCCAGAAAAGGCAAAAGAGAGGTTAATCAATGCAATAAAAGGTAAATGATTGACACTTACAATACAATTAATTAAAATTTGACTATAGTTAATTATGCATTCATTGTGTAACTTCCGTGGTTTATCATAGGGTCAAGGTGTAATAGACATTGTTCAATACACAATTTAAAAGTACACGTTTTTTAAAACGTTTTCACCTACTAGGTATATGATAACAATTAAATACTAGGTGTCAATTATGTAATCCTTCGTAATTTAAAATACAACCGATCAAAAATTCAATCATAAGCCAATGGCCATCAATAAAAACTAAAACAGCTGTTGTATAATAATATCAGCTGGGGATGCAGATGCTAACACAATAATCTACAGCGGCCCAGCTCCAAGCAAGACAAGAAACGGGATTGATTTTAGTCAGTAAGAGTCTGACAATCCCTATTGCCCCACCCTGGGCGAGAAGTCCTATGATAAGTTTTATCCTCAAAAAAGAGGATAGATACACTAAAATATCAGGATAAAAAAACATATAAATATTTTTCTTAAAATCATACCTGCAGGATAGGCAGTTCAAAGTACAAGTAAATAAAGTGAACTCCCAGGGTACTAGCATATCTATGGGCGTACCACAGGGCTCGATATTAGGTGTCAGTTATTCTGAACGTATTACCAATTAAATTACGTTTTAAAACTATTTATAATATTAAATATCTGTGTTCTAAAGTGTTTTTTTTTAATTTCAGATGATATCATGCGTTTCATACGTGGTATTATCTTATTGGCTGACTGACAACCCCCTGGAGCCTACGAGAGCAACCCTGTTCCTTGCCACTATCGTCGCCACGTCACTATGCGCACAGGCATGGGGTTATTTCATCGGATCCACAACTCCTACCAGGGTAAGAAAATGCTACAACTATTTTATCGTCCGGCAACCTCTGGCAACCGGCAACCTCTCGCGTCTGGCCTTAATCGAGGCCGTTGTGCGGAGGGAGAGGAACTGGGAAGCTATCGCCTCTTCCTGTGAAATAGTGATGCTTGCAAAAAAGGAGCCGGACTGCAAGATGAAACTATTTACCTCATGCCCCAGCTGAATGAATTATGAATGATGCAAATGAATTGTGCAAAGATTGCCGGCTACTGTAGGCGCGGGTCTGTGGACAGTGAGCAACGCCGCCAACAGACCCAGACCCGAGCGCGTAGTACATATGCTCCCGCGCGCGCCTTGAATACAGTACAATACAGACCACCTCATATTAGACCTAACAGGCCTAATGTTCAGCCGGGGTTGCGGGTCAACCGCAATAATGTACCGTGGCCATGGCCTGTTGTAACAGGAGAAGGAATGGGAAGGCTTTTAATCAGTAAAACTCCCAATAAGAAATCAACACTCCATCTGGCTCTATGCAAAGCCGGAGAAGAAGTTTGATGGTTTCAAATAATACAAATTCTTTTACAGAAAAAGTAACTAGTTATTTTACGTTTCACGTCCTAATAAAATCCTCCTCTTTTTCCAGATTGCAGTATTCATCGGTCCAGTCCTCGCGTGTTTGTTCTCCGTGTTTGGTTTCTGCCTCGCACTAGTGGACACTCCCTATCAATTCCGTTGGCTCCATCATATTTCTTACTTCAGAGCTGGATTCCACGTCGCCGTACATTCAGTCTATGGCTTTAACAGGACAAGGATGCATTGCTCGAAAGGTAAGAAAAACAAACATAGTTTTTTTGAACACGACTGAAATAAATTTCATATAGCCTAGGTATTGAAACTAAAAACATAGATTTAAGAATAGGTAACTGACAAAAAGTAAAAAAAAAACCTTTGTCACGTGAGGAGTACCAACTTAAAACAACAAAACTCAATTAACAATCATTTAAGCTAGCTTAATCTCTTGTCTGCCGGTATATAAGACACAATAGAAAACATGTTGTGTTTCGCGTACATATACCTCATCATCATCATCATCAGCCTGTTGTCGTCCACTGCTGGACATAGGCCTCCCCAATTGCACGCCACTGAGCTCGATGTTCAGCTCTTCTCATCCAACCACTGCCAGCCACCCTGCGGATGTCGTTAGTCCACCTAGCTGGAGGGCGCCCTACACTACGTTTGCCGAGACATATACCTACCACGGGTTAAGCCTAACCTACCATAATTTAGTATATTAATTTTTTATTTTTCTTTTCTAGGCTCATGACAAATAATACTGTTCTTTTGTTTCCAGAATATTGCCACTACATTACACCAAAGACATTCCTAAAAGAGATGGACATGGAAAACGTTGACGTTGGAGAAAATATGGCGCTGGTTCTTTCAACGACAGTCTTGATGCACGCTTTGACAGCTGCTGCTCTATGGTACAGATTAAATAAAAGATGATTTATGTGACTTGTTGAACGCCATCTTGGAATATTGGATTGGGTTTTTATACTATAGTATTAGTTTAGATACCGCGGGACAGAGTTAAGCTCCTAATTAATGACATCGACAGGTTAATTCTGTCAATTTTGACTTTAGTAATGAAGCTAATATAACTTACCTAATCTTTTTTAGAACTTTTGATTATTAGTAAAATATTATGTTAGGCTCCTATTCTCTGTCTACGCGGCCCCTATTTATTTAGTAATAGCAATGTACTTAGTTTAATTTTAACAGTGAAAGAATTGACAGGCGCTAGAGAATTTGTGATATTTCAATAGGAACTTACGATTTTTTTGTAACTACTAATTTGTCAAGTATTTTGTGACTCTGTTTTACTCTTTTTTGACTATTTTTGTTCGAAATTTATTTTGACAATATTTTGAATCATCCTTATAAAAACGGACCTGTAACATAATAAACATAGAACAAAAATAATCAAAGAATATGTTTAAATCATGCGAATACTTTGTAGCAATCACTTCTATACCAATTTTCAAGATTATTCTTGCCTTTTTGAAGAAGAATTGTGCTGAATCCGTAACGTGCAAATACGGATTTTTAATAAAATAGATCTGATACCATGACTGATAATAATGAACTTATATAACAATGAAACCTTTTTAATATTTTTTTCTATAACATACAATAGTTTTTTTCTATAACTTATTCATTCTTGTGATTTGTAACATTTCATATCCTATCCCTAACTTCCGAAATTCCTTTTATTTAAATCAATCCGTTGATATCATCTTCTTTAATTATTTTCATATGAATTATTATTGAGCCACGCTTGCCTAAAATCGAAAATGAATATATATTTTTGTAACAATCGTAAGCAAGTATTAAAACCATTATATTTCGCGATATAATTGGAATTATGTAGTAGGTAAATTATTTTTCTTATGTGATAATAATTATATTTTAAAGGAATTGTGTTTTTAGATTAATTTATAAAATTACTTAGTAGGTATTAATTAAATAGGTTTATTTTATGACAAATTTAAGGTTTGAAATAAGGCTTATGGTTAAGATGAATAACAGAGAATGCTGCAAACAAATTTGCGACACTTAAGTAGTAGAGTTACTGGAATATAACATGTGATATTAAAATGTGTCCCGGTAAATAATAAATTAATTGCAACTTATAAAAAAATAATGATCCAACTCAGTCCAAAATCTCTAAAACTTAAAGCTAAAATATCAATTTAACTGACATGAAATAACACGTTTCTTTTTAACGTTCAGTACCTGAAAGGAACCGTTATATGGAAAAACGAGAATCAGAGCTCTCTGTCTTCCACCAGTCTGGGCCTGAAATCTGGACGGATAATATATTATTTTTTCTGTTGCCACAAAAACAATATATCCTAAAAAAACTACATAAAATAAGTATTTTTATATAACTTATGTATATATGTAAATATTTTTACCAAAACATTTTTCCTCATTACAATCGCAAATTTGTTTTTACTTACTTTTAGCAATAAATAAAATGAAAATATCGACTCATTTGACCAATCAGATAAAGATGGCCATAAGATAAGCCTACCAAATGAATGTGAAACAATGACTAATTTTTCTGAAGAGTTTTCTCACTTGGTATGAATCATATATATGTTTCATATAACGCAATCTATGATATGAATCTCATAGGTGATCGGAGATTAACTGACTGATAAAACTGAATGACAGCGATTACCGAATAAAATAAATGTATCCAGTGATTAAACGTGTTTTATTTCTAACCGCAATTATAGGGAAAGGTAATTGTGAATCAGTACGCTGTGAGTAAGAGTGATTAATATTACAAGTATTCTAGCCCTTTAACAGCTCTTCCTAATAGTGTTTACGGTCTGGATGTGTGATATTGGAATTAGTTAAAGAGTATAGACTAATATCAACGATCGTTAAAAATGTGTCAAGTTTTTGAAGCAATGAGATTAACAATATAAAACTAGTTCAAGAGATTGAATGCGAAATATGATTAGGTGCCATTCACTCGACATTGTATGTGAAAAATCATATTTTGCGGGGTGGAGGGGATCTTGGAATGACTTTTCCCATCTTGGGTGGGAGTGTCGGACTCTTACCTACTGACTAAAGACCCGTTACTTCTACTGCTCCAGGCCGAGGCCGCTCGATGAACTTACCCAATTACTGAAATAGCGACTACCGTTTTTGCTGATCCGATGACGCTAGTGTAGACGTATTCTTTTCTTTTCAATTGAGAATTTGCTAGTGCCACATTGTTGGAAGCTCATTTTTTGACACTTCAATACCAAATTAATGGCAAAAACGCTATACCAATGAAACAATGATATATTTGCTCCAAAATAGTGCTGTGACTGTCTTAACATTTCCAGGCTATAAAAATGATTGATTCAATTGACTAGTAAGCAGTAGTAAGTAGTAGTAAGTAAAAAAGTTAAGCAAACAATTAAAGCATTAATCAATACCAAGAAATTTTGTCTGTCAAATGTCACAGGTCACATTAACGTACGGATACAATTCTTATATGATCCTCAATAATAATTTTTCTGGGTCTAAATGCGATTATTATCAAAAAAAATATTCTAAACGCGTTCTACCTCGTCCAGTGTCGACTTAAGAATATAAAATCATAGCGAAGGGCGATATTGAATTAATAATAAAAAGTAAAAACCATATCTCAAAGCCCCACGCCGTGACTGCAAGTCGTGACTTATTGGTATTAACTGGCATTACAATTATAATTTTATTACTGACTGTAATTGCTATCACATTGTGCACTAAGAAGCGTTTTTTATGAGGTAAGAGGAGTGTCAAAATCTTACTGACTGACTCTGATCCGGACCGCAGAACGTAACTGATCTTAACCCACTCTAGTGGATCCCTTCAATGGAGGCCGGATACCTCTTTTCGTCTTAGAATATTTTATTATTATTAAATTATTTTGTTTACACTTACGTATTTAAGAAAACACAGAAAACCTACAATTTAAAGTTAAGTAAGTAGGTTATCGTAGTCCATATTTCCTGACGGAATTTGCTATACTTTGGAATAATTAACATATTTTACAAGTAAACTTAAAAAATATACATAATATTTTAAGCAACTTTGAAAAGTAAACTCTGTGTATCAGTATTCTGTATAACTTGAAAAAAGTGGCATTGGTAAGTATAGCCCAGGTTTTGAACGCAACCTATTACTTATCCTCCACGCCACCACTACAAACAGTAATAGGCACTATTTTTAAAAACTCAATTCCATTATCTTATTATTTCTAACAGTTGGAATGGAGCAAGCTTGGTGGTTGATGCACACATCTTCATCGAGTGAAAAGGGGCCTTTGTTCAGCCGTAGGCACTTATAGCCTGCATCAGCCTTGTAGGTACCTAAATAAAATTTCGCCAAACTCGTTTTTTTCTGTTTTTTATTTATAAATAGGACTAGGTAATTAGTTTACCAATAAATGAGACAATCCTTTTATGAGTCAATCTCAAAAATGCGTACTAGAAAGCGTGATTCATCACAGTAAAATTAATATTAGTTCGATATCGGAGTGCTTGTGTTAAACACATAAACATTTAGATGTTTGTTATCAGTGGATTGATACCTTTATGATAGTAGACTAACACCTGTGCTCAGATCTGTGAATCATATTTTATATGCTGATAAATTAATGCTATCACTGCCCTTTCGGAGAAAAATGAGGAAAATTGAGCGCTGAAAGAGATGAAATTATCACCTGTCTTTTTCATTGCTTTTGTTTCATTTTTGAGGTAATCGAAAGTGTATGTCTACGCCTTTAGACGAGTCTATTTTATACCTTTAAGGAGCAATTCTTGTACATATTATATTTATGTACATATAATAAAATGTAAATGAAAGTGTTTTGGAGCCTGAAAAATCTATCCAACTAGGTTTCATTTGCAGAAAAAAAACAAAGCCGAGCTTTGGCTACTTATTCTTCGTACTTCATCTCATTCTGTCTTCTGTTCAACTGGAATTAGTAATTCGTTTTATTACTACTGATGATTGATTATAACGTAACTAGGAAAAACTGTGTTCACACACCTTACTTAGAATCTGAGAACACTGAGGAAACAAGCATGTAGTTGGGGGTCCTGTTCAAGCTTAGAAGAACTTGGCAACAATACTTATAAATTTTCAATATATATCAATCCTTTGTGAATACTGGCACGAAAGAATCACAGCGTTGTGTTTCGCCGTGTTAGTGAAGTTATCGAAGGTACAATCCCTCCCCTACCTTTTCCCTCCCTAATCCTTAAATTTCTTATATCGTAATCCCCAAAAGACCGTCAACGTAGTCGGACAGTTGTTGCGGGTGCATCAGGTAATCCACCTGTTCTTTTACCAAAGTATCTCCAATAAAAAAATTGATTGGTGCATAGCGAATTTAAACCTATAACTTCACACCAGATGGACAGGCACGTGCTTATCATTTTGGATCTAAATACTAGTACATTTAAGTACCACTTATCTAACCTAAAACTCGTGATCTAGTTGTAAAAATCGGTTTCGAATTTTTGCGATAAAAGTATGTAAGTGCTTGACTTCCATAGCGTCAGTGAGCAGGGTTGATAAGCGCTCGCTCCTTGCTGAAGCAGACATTTGATAGTGCTTCGTCAACACAGTCGGTTTAAAACAAAAAAAAGCTCCTCAATTTTCCGAACGTATCGTATTTACCTATTAACAGTGTGTGTGCATTCAATATATATTAGTGGATTGTTTTAAATAAGTGACTTAAATGTAAGTATTTATTTATTATATATCTTTTTAATATTAGTATAATATTATTATTCTTCTAAAATTTATTTATTTAAATTTAGTATTATTTATGAAAAGTTCCCTTTAATTAAAGTTTGACACTAAGAAAGTGAATTATTTACTAGTAACGTTAAATTAATGCCACGTATACAGTTTTAAAATTAAAGTTGTTATACCAATAAAAACCGTTAATACCGTTTCTATACACGTACATTTTATGCTAATTAGATGGATTCCATTACCCTTTGTTGTAAAGTATTTTACAACGTGGCAGGTGTCTCGATAAAAAACTTGATGAAGACTTATTTAATGTTATTCCTATAATTATATTTACTTAGATAATATTCAGGAATGCTACCGCAACTGTAGTTTTAAAATTCGGATCTAGCCCAGCACAGAACGTCACCACAAAACGTTACATTAACTGAACTCGTCTCAACCTAAAATAATTAAATTTATAAAATGCAAACAATTCTTTAATTTTTATTTACAAAAATATATAAAATATACGATTTATTACACTTCTTACGTATTAAAATATTTAGTTCACGAAAGAAGACTTTATCAATCTGCATCCATTTCATATTTAAATAAAATATAACTCCAATTGCCGTGAACAAATTCTCAAATCGTTTGTATATGAATATACCAATATTATACTACTAGTCTCAACTCCTCAAGTAAACGAATAGGAAAAATGAAAGTAGAGCCCATTTCTCATTTTAGTTTTAGCATCTTATGACTCCATTCATATAATCGTGATAAAATGTGTCATAAATAAATAATAATTTATATCGACTAATCCAACTATCAACCTAATGGAGTTTCCTATGTCGAAAACTAAAACAAATACTGTTCAGTTCTATAAAATATTTTTCAATACTTAGTAAGTATCGTGAGACATATTTTTTCTTAAAAGTAATGATTTGCTCTCCCTTTTTTACGTAAGTGACAAAAGCTCCGCTAGTCATGTAAATAAGCCCCGTTGTGGCTTGAAACTTTTAGAGCTTTTCTCTATCAATTTACGTGGTAAGTCTTTTTTACAGTGTAATATAATATAATCAACAATATTTTATTGTGTTTTTGTTTAATATATTTAACTTATTATATAACTAACTATAATGATTTTTAAAACCTAATTAAATAGTAAAATAATTTATACCAGACAGTGCACTTGTTACATATGTAATTTCGGCCTAAAGGTACTCTATTTTTGTGGCAATTTTCATCAAAATCCATTCTCTAGATTTACGAAAAATAGTAACAAACTTCTAACCATACTTAAATTTTTTCAGTAAGAAGTATTAGTGGGATTATTATTTTGTCATTACGAAAAAAGTATTAAATTGGAGTAGTTGGAAATTTCAGAACTAAATATATATCAAACTAATTATTAAAAAAGAACTAACAAATGTTCATTTTTTTAAATTATTTTAGCATATCAAAGAACGCTAGAAAATTCAGTATTTATTTCAAAATTTAATTTATCCGGAACTAAAAATCAATGTAACTCAAACAACAGACAAGGATGAGACATCAAAGTTATGAAGGTAAACCTACCTATGACAAAGAATATGGTTGTGTTAAATTATGTACGAAAACAGTGTGTAATTAGTCACTAATAATGATTTGTACCGTAGGTGTAGTACTAGATAAGACACGCGACCCACAACGCAAAATTTCTACGCAGTTGCTTTATGTGACAGTATAAGTTGCGTTTGTGCATTTTTGCTCTTAATATTTTGATAAATACTATTGACGTCAACATAATATACAGCGCATATAATTAAATAGATTACTTAATGAATTTAATCAATCAAGAACGTTTATTATTATGTTTCATTACTTTAAGTAATCTTCTTTTTCTTATAGGTATATAAAAATAAAAAGCTGTTAGTCTAGCTAAAACTCAAGAAAAGCTTGACTGACTATATTAATGAGGTCTTGAAATATTCCTGGATATATTTGAAAGGTTTGAAAATGATATATTAGTTATATTTGAGACAGTACGAAGTTTGCTGGGTCCGCTAGTTGAAAATAAAATTATAAATGTCTAAAACCTATTCCAACTTTGTTGGTGAAAGACTAGAAACTTGATAAAAAAGACGTGGTGAAGTTTCGGCTACTGTTAATTTAATTTAATATTTACAAAACAACATGAATTTGACAATGTTTATTTGTAAACCTAAGTCAATTTAACTGATGAGTAGTGTGAATTTACATGTAAGGCCAAAATTACTGTAAAAAATCATTTTTATAGTAATTTTCTAGGTACAAAGCACTCTTTCGAAAAAAAAAGATTTTGCACTTCACTTAATTCGTAGGCCAACGTGAGACCAAGTTGGTACCTAACTGGTATAATTTCCTGGTAATGTGAAAGTGAATCGGACTTTCCCAGATTGAGTCAGTATATACCTTTCAAAGATAATATTGACTTATAATAATCATGGCTTGCACTGTGAAATACGTCACCAAAATATAAACAGGGGTATCGATTTCTCAGCCCTTCCTAACCCTTGTTTGATGCGTGTCTGGGATAGATAAGTACATTTGGTTATAGAGGAAAATATGGAAAGTGGTGACGTCACCCTTACTTGTACTTGATATTGAACCATCGCAATACTGCCACACAATTCAGTAGTAGTTTTGGAGAATAAAAGTCGACGGTGTTATTATAACTTATAAGCAATCCAATTATTGATGTTATTCTTACAATTGTCAAAAAAATAACAAAGAAAACAAGAATACGCATTATACTATTTTCTCCACTTTTATTGTTTGAATTGACTCTTGAACTAACAAGCAATTTACTTAACAAACATAACTATTGATAATTGATACCTATCCAAATATCATGTACCACTACAAGAACAATTGTGCACTGCACAATGGATCGGTGTTACGCCCTGTATAATGGTCGCAGCGTAACTGTTGCGGCTCCAAATTTGACAATACCCTATCTGTCTTGCAGCGATAACAGCTACCGAAGCGCGAGTTACTGCCAGCTGACGGCCATGTGGGGAGTGGGGGAGAACGACCGATAATCGCCGACGGAGTGCCAGCCGCCTGCGCAGCGCAGTTCGCCTTCCTCACCCACCGCGGCAGGGCGCTACGCAGCTGTCGCGCTACATTCTTTGTTTACATCGGACGCGTTTCTTTGTTCAAATTAGCGCGCGATGGATAAAGTGCGTTTTGTTGTGTTATAGTTATTTTTGTTTGTGTGAGTGAAAGTTTACGAACATGGCCAGTGAACATTCTGAGTCCCAGGAGACCAGCTCCACGTCTCTATTGGAAGACTCGCTGACCATATCGTTCGAAGACATCAGCTACGTCGTCCGACATGGCATCTTGGCGGGAGGTAAGGGAACCTTCACACTATTACGAAGTTTGTTTACATGCTTGCATTGCGTGTTACATACAAACACGTATTAAGTCAGATAAAGTTATCTCAACTGCTCTACACAACTTGAATAGATGTTATTTATTTACTTATACATAATTAATAGGTTAACGATTACGTATTTGGTACTTGCGTTTTGTTTTCTCCGTGGCAAACAATGCTGATGTCGGCAATTCGATCGATGCCAGATGAGGAAAACGAAGGGCAAGGGTGGCAAAACAGATAGGGGTCGGGTGCTGAGAACGCAATAGACAAAGCTTGGTTATACGAACGAAATGTAATGTTTCATTTAAAATACCAATGATAATCTCTATTTAAGTAGGTATATATGTTATTATATCAGTCTAAAACACAGACATTATTAATATCTTTCCGTATCAAACGCTAACGAACGTTAAACAAAGTAGTTTTATTATTAACACAAAAATAAGGAAACAGACTTACAAACTAAACGTCCTTTAGACAACTTAATACTCACCTCTATATTAATGTAGTGACTATTGAGACAAAAATAATAAAACGAAAATAGTAAACGTACGTTTCGTATTTGTGAAAAACAAATTATGTGTAAACTTTGAACTCTATGTCCTTCTAGGAGTAGGTAAATGTAAACCACTTCCTTTTTATGTAAACGTCGATACTTATAACAAAAGAAAACATACATTTTCATTTTATTTACAGATCAAAAATATATTTCTAATACATTTATAATAAAGATATGAATGAATTACTGCAAAGCAAGTTAGGAATAGGTAATCCACAAAAATCAGTTCCAACAAATTTTAAATAATCAAATGACGGCGTTATCGAAATTTTTGCTGTAATTTTAGATAGTCTCTGTGTTTAGTTTCAGATAAGAAGTAAAGGCACAATTTGATAAATATATTGCTTAAATATAACGGGTTTCTATAAGAAAATCCCATATGTTAACCTCATTTAATTTTGTAATATTATTGTCAGTCAATATTCACTTCTTCCTACGCATATTTTGTAAGCAAATAGTAGAAAAAGCTGTTAACCAGCCCACAGGCGTTCTATATCGGTCCGCTATGTTACTATGCGATAAAAATATATTTAGCCTTGAACCGGGTCGCTGACTTCAACGTGTGTCATCAGATTAATCAACAATTAGTATAGCAACATGTTAAATTTCTTCCCGTTTTCAATGTTGACCTCTCTATTTTATCTTAATTATTCTACTAAAAACATTATCTTAATTTTTCGACATTCCAATCGTTAAGTTAATGGTATAAGTCTGGCAATTTGCATTTAGCCTAAACACTACTGCAATTGTAATAAGGAATCGTATTTCGAATTTGTCGTATATTCTATCACTTTTAGCGATCATGTCTTGCGGTTCCTTATTGAAAAATCGGAGTACTTATCCTGTCTCGTTTATTGGTTGATAGACTATGGGCGTTACCAGAGGGGGGAAAAGAGGGGAATTGCCCCACATGGTCCAGAAAAATTGTAGCGACGAACAACGTCTTTATCCACTTTGTGAGCTACCGAATTCAAAAGGACTGTATTGAAGCATTCAAGATTTTTGTATAGACATTCAAATCCCCCTTCTTGATTCTCGTCAACAAATTCTCTCATAAGACGAAAGGACTTATTCTAACCTAATTCTAAAGATAAGGACAGACAAAAGTTTGTTAAAATTTTCGTTAACGATATTCATTATCGTGTTTCACAGGAATCCCCTTCTAAGTCATTACTAATCGGTCTGCAAGCTGCATGACATGAACTTAGATAAATGATTAACTTACAAACGATTTTTTTTTAATTTGTTGCCGTATAATACTATAGTACTTTTAAATATTTTTTACCTTGATGATCTTTAAACCAGAATGTGATTAACAACTAAAACAATTAAATAAAACACAAACCTTCCTCTTCAATCACTCTATCTATTAAAAAACCGCACAGGACAGAGAAGGCGACTTAATTTTATAATATATGGTATATGATAACAGTAACATTTTGTATAATTATGTATAGTAGATCATAAATCAAAAATGTAATGAACTGTTCTTTTACATTTGTGGCTTGTTACTGAAGTGCCTTAGATTGTTATTGGTTTGGTTTTAGCATAAGGTAGTAGATATAACATATTACCTAACTACGTAAAGACGTTTTGTTTTATTTTCGATACGTATTTTAATACACATTTAAATATCTTATTTATTCGAAAATAGAGATTTAAAAGCCGATTATTCTTTAATTAGTAATGGGCAAATATTTAGCATCAGAACAAATTGAAGGCACGTGTTATCTGTACATGTATAACTGTTCCTATATGACTCAAAACATGTACTATATGTGTTATATGACTAACACAGAAATATAAATAACACGGGTACACTAAAATAGAACTAGGTTTGGCGTGACATTGAGATCATAGAGATAGGGCAAGAGCATGCGATAAGATAAATCTGCCAATATAAGTTGACAAATATATCAAAAATATTCTGCGTTAAAATATATTTGTTTTTTTATATACATTTATATATTATGCAAATCTTATGGTATTATTTAAGTGTAAGAGCAGTCACTTGTAAATCATAATAATATATAGTGGTATAGCCAGTGTCAAATATATTTCCTACTAGCTACTCTCACGCGGTTTTACCCGATCGTAGCTTAATGTTTTATAGCCTTTAGCACTCAGGAACATTGTAGCTATCTATCAGTGTAAGAATTTTGGCAATCCGACCAGCGGTTCCAAACATTACCCCCTACATACAAACTCAGAAATGTTTTCTCTTTATAATATTAGTATAGATTATGCAAATCTTATGGTATTCTCTAAGAGTAAGAGCCGTCCCTTCTGTTTCATATATAGTTGTTTAGTCATCGTCAAATATATTTCCTATATAACACCTACATTTAATTTTATAGACGCACACAAACCACCAAAGTATTGATATAATAAAGTCACCACTTAGGCTCAATCATTAAAAATGCCTAAATTAATTCAATACAATTAAATGAATACATTCAGGCATTTTTATTTTCTTAACAGTTTATATTGATTTACTTCAGTTTTTTATGAAATTGCTCGTTTTACAAACACAAATTGGAATCATAATGAAACCGCGTCCTATTTTACCAATGAAATAGCATACCTCTTCTAAAAACTCCTAATTCTCAAAACGTATTGTTTGGAAATACAAAATATATATTTACTCTAGCGGGAAATCCGCTTAAGATAAAATTCGTAGAACTTTTCAAAAAGTTAACGCAACGAAGTAACTAGCTTTTAAATAAACAAAATAAGGAAATAAAACTATATAGACGTCAATACAGGTATTTGCAAGAATTCTATTATTTATTATAGCCGTAATAGCTAGAATTCTAACGTGAATAACTTCCACTAATCCCTTAAAAGTTCTGAGGAAATTTAACAGGCCCATAGATAATACAAATAACATTCCTTCTATAGTACAGGCCTAGGCTTAGTTTAGACTCCAGATCTCCCACAAATTGCCTTTCGTTACTGTCAACTGGTATATTTAACTTTAAAGAGTTTCCTTGTACGTCATGTGTAATTTATGGAGATAAATAAAACATTTATTTTTTTTATTTATTATTCCTAGCTTAATGGATACTGGCTATTGAGCCCTTAACACCAGCTTATCAATGTTCCTTAAAAAGACAATATACATAATTCATTATTATAAAGGTACGTATCACTATTAAAATCTAATAAGATAGAAAGAAAGAAGAAGAAAGAATGAAAACGTATTTTTTTCGCGTCTAGGACGCACATAAAACACAGAACAAACAAGTGTTTAAACACAAAAACAAAAAAAGGGCAATATAAGTAAAAATGTGCGTCACAAGCACGCGAATAAGATAGGTTGGTACTTCTAGTAAGAACTTTTGATGGAATGATAATATGTAAGTTTTAGCAACATAATCATCATCATCATCAGCCTATAAGTGACCACTGCTGAGCAAAGGCCTCTTCTCACACGGAGAAGGATTGATCCAAACTAAAAGATTGAACAAACGATTCCAAACTTATAAGTCCAGGTTTCCTCACGATGTTTTCCTTCACCGTATGTCAGTGGTGTCTGTCAATCATAAAAAGTACATATAACTCGGAAAAAGTCACATTAGTACTTGCCAGGTATCGAACGGGCAACCACGACCAAAAACATAAAGTATTCAAAAAATATATAAATATTATAGAAGTTGTGAATGAAATACCATTACTTACGTTAGCAACAACAGGCATTTCAATTACGTACAATATCAAAAGTGAATTATAATAAATTTTCCTTTAAATCAATTGATCTGTATCTGGAGTGTGCAGTGGCAAATTCTTCAATTCACATCAATTGATTCGGCATTGACATTAGCCATATTCAATTTTTGACAATTATTTAGAGCCCATTATTAAAACTGGCTGAATTTGTTTACGCATTCCTTTCTATTAACTGTGGCAGAGCCATGCTTTGGCACGAATTGGTCGACTCGACCGTAGTGACCATAGCTGTGATACCACAGCCTCACAGAATGCGTGAAGCACCATTTACGTTGTATTTTGCTGTGTGACTGTGAAGTTACCTAGTCCCAATCCTTACCTGCATCCTCAATCTTCCGAGGTCGCGGGGTAAGCGCAATGTGACACCGCTGCCTTGGCCCGATGCAGGAGAAGGATCGGGGGGAATTTTAGTCCATAAGAGTCTGACACTCTCCATCGCCTTACCCTGGGAGAACACATTTGATGATTTTAAAAAAAAAAACCTCAATCTTCAAACCCCAAATCCTTGAATCTCTAATAACCTACAAGAGGCCGGCAACGCACTTTTAGTAACTCTTTTGGTATTGCGAGTGTCCATAGTCGGCGCGGATTGCTTACCATCAGGTAGCCCGTCATTTCGTTTGCCGAACTATGCCATAAAAATATAAGTATAAGAATCTACCTTTTCAAATGAGTGTAGATAAAGAATAGGTACATAAAGCGTCTCGAAATGTTGTTCGCTATTGTTTGTTGCTTTTTTATTCTTTATTTTTCAGTTTCGCATTGTTTGTTGAAATCAAATCAGAATTCGTTATTATAGAAATATTATGAACCGCGTAAAACTAGCAGACTGATTAAGGGTATTTCACAATACCTTACATTTATTTTCATAGGATAAGTCGGCAATTGAACTTACGGATCACCTGGTGATAAGCAATCGGCGCCACCCATGGACACTCGAAATACCACAGGAGTAACAAGTGTATTTTACTGGCCTTTTGTGGGTTATTAGGGATCAGATAGGATAGTGTGTTTGGCGACTGAGGATGCGGGTGGCGGCGTAAGAATTTCGCTTCACTTAGACGTCGAAATAAAACGTTACAATTTTTTCACGCCAATATCCTTTTAAGTCGTGGTAACTCTCAGGTCCAACCTCCTTATTCGGGATAAAGCATGGTCTAATAGTCCTCCACCTTTAATGAAAATAGAACGTAATTTGTATTAAGTTTGTATTCCATACGGATAATTACGGTGCATTGTTTTCTAATCGTATTATGCTGATGCATTCTCCACGCTTGAATTGTTGTGAATGCACATTGAATGTAGCATTAGTGCGATAAACTGAGTGAATATACAGTCATTTGTATTGCGCTGGAGTAATTTAATATTTCTAATAATAATATAATATATCATCTGAACACAAAACACCCTATATAGCTAACTTCCAGATCAGCCGATTGGAAGCATTAGAACCAAATCCAACCCAATTAACTAGTTAAACAAACAGTTTTCCTAAGTTGTCCTTTGCATTAAAGCTCTATGATAATGGCCCGTACAGAAACTCATTACTTATAAAAATTTGTGACATAACATCGACATTTTTTAAGTCACGAAAAGTCCGCGTTAAAAATTTACCTTAGATACCTGTCTCTCAAAAGATAGATATCGTGCCGTCAACGTACTTGTAATTCGATGTTGCATATGTTCAAATTAATCATCAGGTAGTCCATGTGCCAGTTCGACACTCTTTTTTGAAGAGTTAAATGACTTCTCTTGCCCAAGATATGGTGAGAGGGTGACTGAAAGCCACCCCGTTCCTTCTCCTGCTCTAGACCGAGGCCGCGGTACCTGATTGCGCTTGGCCGCAACCCCGGCCAAACTACGGTGCTTTTGAGCTCCATCTATGGTGGTCAATTGGCTCTTTGCGCCGCAGGCTCGGGTGTGGTTCTGCTCGGGAGACGAACAAGCCATCCTAATACATTAAAAAGACGGTTTAAGGGTAAAATGCAGAGCAGAAGCGAGCAATGAAATATAACGAACAGCTCTATCACATTATTTTCTTGGTAAAAACATTAGCGTAATATTTCACAACTATTATAACCACAATGTTTACCCAAATAACCTATAACGTACAGTTTTTTCAACTAGAACATTACTGTTAACTGGGGGAACACATGTGAACTCGGTTGCGTTACAAAACTTCGTCTAATAATAGTTACACGCTGAAGCTGAAAATAAATTCGCCCTTTTAAACTGGTGCTCAGATCAAACTAAACGTGCCTTGAATCTAGATAGGTATTTATTTTAAAAAGTCCTTATATTACAATGCCTTTAATAAAATAAGTTTAAAAAAAAGTTAATACAAAATTAACCAGTTAGCCAATTAAATTTATATTTAATTATATTTTTTATTTCAATAAAGGGTAGGTAATTATTATAAATCGTTTGATTTAGGTGCATACAAAAAGTAAAAAAAATATATGTTAAGGTCGACTATATCAAATGCGATCATTGACATGTTGTTATTTTAGAATTTTATAAAAAAATAAATTCATAATTTACTAATGACTTAAGTTATAAAAATTCGTACCCTTTTTTGTAGGTACATATTAAAATTTTATTAAAAAACAAGTATCTACATGATTGTTTTAGCCACGTTACGGTCAAATGCATTAAGTGCAGTCATTGAAAACTTGTTATTTTTAGTTACATAATCTATAATTTACTAATGACAGAATAAAAAAAAATAGTACAAAAGGATCGCTATGCAAAAACTACTTAATAAAACAATTATCGTAACCCTCTTCACGGCTTTACTACAATTGACTTTAATTTTTTTTCTTTAATAAGACGGCAAATACGTATACGGATTACCTGATGGTAAGCAATCGGCGTAGCGCATGGACTAGACTAGCAACAATAGAGCAGTTATGGTTCCCGGCCTTTGGTGATTAGTGTTTCAGGTATTTAGGAATTGGAGGGGGAGAAGTATTGACCTCCGATAGCCTAACTCACACGACGAAACACAACGCTGTGGTTGTTTCACGCCGGTTTTGTGTAAAACCGTGGTATTACTCCGGTAAAGCAAACTCATTCGCGCCTGACTCTCCCAAGTTTCAATTCAAACCGTTAAGAAATTGAAATCGCAATTCGTGTTTAGAAAACACACTTACTCTGGTTTTACGGATGTTCATGCTTACCATCAGGTAATTTATGTGCCCGTTTCCCATCCTATCCCATAAAAATGAGACCAAAAATGTAATTATAGATTTTTTTAAGACTAAGATACTTAAATTAAACAATTAAATATTTTCGTTTTATTTTTATGCTAATTACATAAAATTCTCAAAAAAATATTGTGTTTTAAAGGGATATGTTTGTTTTTTATTATTGTAAGGTAATATTCATTATTTTTTGTTTTTTTTTTTATTGTGTCTGCTTCAAACCCATATCTGTCATCTTGTGTTTTCGACAGCTGTTTTATTGCTTTACCTACATGGGAAATGTACGTCATTGTCGATTCTTAAATAATTCAATTTAGCACGTATTCGGCGGGTATCGAATAACCTTCCGTTTACTTATAAATTAATTGTAATAAAGTTATCGAATCTTTTGAATCTTTACACTTAAATTATAAGTGAAGAAAATGCAATTACAAAAGTTAAATAAGAATTGAGGTATTTTCTATAATTCTAATGCGACACCATAGGGCATTAATTCGCCTTACAAAGATTAAATATCTTCCGCTACAAACCATGGGTTAATTACATTTCCGTGTCCGTGTTCCTACATATAAGACAGCTTCCCTATAAAGGAACTTCCTTTTGAATACATTACCTATTTGTCGTTTTTTCTCCTGCTCAAATAATATATCTTCTGATTTATTTCGTGACGGGATCCAAGGCAGTCATTCATGTCCCTGGGACGCGCTGGACTTCAGTGTACCGGTGGTTTCATGGTTGTATCTACTGTAGATCCTGGCTTACAGGAGTTGCAGCAGTTTTAGTAGATTGAGGCGAGCTTATCCTAATAAAAAAATATGTCTAGGTTTACTCTGAAATTCTATTATTTAATTTTGTATTTGCCATCAAAAATTATCTTTTAGGTAAGTTTGGTGACGGTAATGAAACCTAGACTTACCATTTCAAATCATTCTTTGATCACCATTCGCGTTATACAATAGCGGGTATTACTGATAAATGATCTTTCGTTTTCCTTGTGCATAGAGGCTTAGCCTTGCAATGGTTACACGTATTAGCACATGACATATTTATTCATAGTTAAAAATTAGAAGAGAAACTGTATTTTATAACTTAAACCAGGAAATTACTTGCAAGTATGTGTCAGATATCAAAATATTGAAGGAAACACAATGCTGTTGTTATCACTAACATACATAAAGCAGTTATATAATCTGATGATTGTGTTTGATAGTGAAATAATCAGTCCACCATGCCTTGAGATTAAACTTAGAGTATGTAGTAAAATATTTTATATATGTATATGCACATGTACGAGTATATATACTTGCACTTTTAACCATAAGTAGCAAAAAATGTATTATCATTCCAAATAATGTCTGCACTTATTTACCTACCGGTGTTTTTTGTCATGACACAAGGTCTTGAAAATAAAATATTAAAGAGAGTCCTAATGAATTAAATCATTTTTCATTTTATTTGTTTTTCAAATGGTTATGTTAAGAAACTGAAAAACTACGTAAAGTTTAAATAAAACATTGGTCGAAAAGTTTGTCCGTCAGTTGTCCTTCAGTGAAACTAATACTGACACAGATATCATAGATTGGCACAGATAAGAACGACCACATAGCTATACATATATGTACCTATGTATATTAACAGGAGACATTTCGATTACCCAACACTGCGCACGATTCATACTTAACATTATAATTCCCAAGTCACTTATCACACTTTCATTATTCAATTACAAGATATAAAGATACATACGGCCAACAATTTATATTACAATGGGCGTACTTGTATCAAGAGCAGCACTTATCTTCAATCGTCTGTACAAAATCGTACATAATATAATTCCATTGTCATGTAAGGTCATTTCATTTCGTGAACAATACGTAAGAAATGAATTGATTAACGGCCATTGAACTAAGTTGCCATCTTCTCATTGTTATTAAAATAAAATATGACTTATGTAATAATACTAGACTGTAAATTAGAATGAATGGGATGAGTTGTGCCTATTTCATAATTGACTGTTGTCAAGTGATCATAACAATTGTATAAACAGTTGGTTGTATGGTTCGGGACTAAATGTCTCGTTGATTACAAACTATGACTAGTAAATGAAACGTCTGAGTCCTGTCCCTAAAAAAACTAGGCTAATTGAGTCTTATGGCTTTGACATAGGCTTTGAAATAATTTGTCGATTTTCAATTACAATACACGTAATGTGTATTGTAATTGAAATCATCAGCCTACCAAAGGCCCTTTAGGGCTGATATTCTGCTGGAGTTGCGGAGTAAGCGCAATGAAGCACCGCGGTCTCAGCCTAGATCAGAAGAACCCCCATTCGTTCTTCTGTGCTAGGCCAAGTCGCTAAGCGTTTTTAGTCATTAAAAATATGACACTTCCTCTCGCCTCAGCGGGAGAATTCATTTGATGACTTCTTCTAACAAAGAAAATCCTATAAAATCCATCGTCAGCCTATAAAACGCTACCACGATTGCTCAAGACGGTTTGGCGATTTCAAACTTATACTTAATTAGAAGTTATGTGCGACCCGGTTTCTCCGTCAGGGATGCCTGAATAAACTTAGATTATTATGTGTTTTTTATACATGGTAAATAAAAAATACATCGGTTACCAGTTACTAATAACATTTAATTTCTGATTTCACTAGTGTCAAATCGTCCTTGTTTTTCTATACACTTTCAATATCATATCGAACAATATTCATAAGTAGGTATAGTTACATTACCAATAATCATAAGTTTTAAACTAGGTATAAAGCATACGATAATTCTAAATAACTTTTAGGGAAAACCAATTGCCGTGTTAGTTATAAGTCTACATAAATTAATTGTTCGACAAAAATTAAAATATAGAAGATCTACTTTAATACCAATGTTTATCTTTACTTTCTGGATTGACATTGTGGGTGAATTGGTTCACATAGTCAAGTGTAGGGGTGTGGGGAGCCGAGCTTCGTCACGAATGGGTCGGCTCGACCGGAGTGAAACCACAGCTTCACAGAAAATCGGCGTTATGCACTCGTAACTCCTTTGGTGTTACAGGTTTCCATGGACGCCGATTGCTTACCATCATCTACCACGGGTCCATGAATTGGTAATCTACTTACTCGTTTGCCGCCCTATCTCATAAGAAAATAAATGGTCCTTTTATTTTGTACCTAATAAGTATACATATAGCCATGTATATGTATAATTTTATCTAAGGCTATCAAAACCCTTATTGTTAGGCATATCCTTTATCTTTTGATAAAATAACTAAGTCATCGTTCCGTTCGAGACAGTCTGCATTATCGTACGAGATTTGATAAGGAATTTAAGTTATCTTAAAACAATTTATAATTGGTCTACAATGCGTCAAATACCTTTCGATACCATTTCGTGATAATTGGCATTGGATCCGTAAGAGCACATAGTAGGCTAATTAATACCTTATCATAATGGAAATTATGTATGGTTTTTTGAAGGCGGGAAAATAATAAAAGACAGTGTCCAAATCGGCTCTGTGCAATAAAGAGTATCTGAATACACGATAATTAATGGTCTATTTTATTAGGTATTTAAGTTGCCAACATTTTTTAAACACGGACAAGCTGTATTCCAAAATGTGCTTTTAATGTATTTTACGTGACTAATAACATTAGTAGTTGCCATCTTCGCTGGCGACTGGTACCTATAGCTAGTTTCATATTATTGTTCAAACGTAGCTTTTGTGATAGTTATTTAGCTAGGTTCTTAAAAATTACTGAAAGCATTGAAAAATTACTCTTGAAATTCGTTATTATAGTTAAACGCTAACCTCAAAATCTGTTTTTTTTTTTAAATATGTATATACTGTGCAGCTAGTCCGCTATAAAAATAAGATTTTATAGAAGTTTACTAATGATAGAGACTACAATACATATACGTCCAAGGTAAGGCGAGAGTGTCAGACTCATACGGACCCCTGGTTACTTTTTCTGCTCCAGGCCGAAACTATGGGCACCTTATTGCGCTTGATTTGCAATCTCGGCTGATAAAAATTATGTTGTCTATCTATCTGTTATATAGTATTGTATTACTATCTGTGAATAGCAGAAATGCTGGTCTATAAGAAAAAAAACTACATATATAAAATGATATTTAAAATAAGCTGATGGATTACCCAGACCGCAGACACTACGGGTGTCTGCGGTACAAGACATTACAAAACCATCATGGGTGAAAATCATCAACGGACTTCGCCCTAGTTGAGGTGAGAGAGTGTCAAACTCTTCAACACTCTGTCTTTCTGGCTAAAACCCTTCCCGTTCCCTCTCCTGCTCCAGAGTCGCAGTACATTACCTATAGCGGAATCCTACCTGCACTTGTAAATCCTTCGGGGAGGATTGAGCCTCCAGTAATCAAGCAAGCACAATATACCTATTACCTAAGCATCATTTTACAAGGCTTCTGTGAAGCTAAGTGTCACTTAAACCGGACGAGCCGGCTCGTTCGTAAGCTTATATCAGTCCCATACCATTGTCTTTTCTATTCCGAGTAGCGTTTACGCCATTTGTCTACTAGCTCGAAACAGAATCATACGATATCAAATGATTTCATTATAACGGATGTCACTAGCCCCCTAGTAAAACGTCACAAACTTCTTTATAAGGAAACAAGATCTGACCTTCAACTTCATTTGAACGGAAATAGTTGTTTTCTAAAGGCCCAAGATTACGGAGCGGTATGGCGCCATTTTTATTTGGAGCCAGTCAAGCTGATAATTAATTTGTGTTAAAGATAGGCTGTAAAGAACCTCCTTGCTTGTCTATGGTAATGTCGATGAACTAATTTGTCGAAATCTGGTGTTTAACTGTTAATATTAACGCTTAAGATACCTATTACCTATGTGGATTGTAGATACGAGTATCTATTTTTTATGTATCAAAGATTGGCAAGCGTTGTAAGGGCAAGTTACTCATATTTTACTTGAAAACTTACTTACTTACTTACAAATATCATTAAATTGATTTCACATTACTTTATTGTCATTTTCATTTAATTTAAATTAATTTTATTTAACAAAGTTTAATTTTAAAACACATAAAACCAAAAAAAACAACAAATGGTAACTTTATAGTATGATGTTATATGACATAGTGACACGATTTTATATTTATCAAATGATTGGCTAAACAAATTTTTTTAAACTGTTTCAGTTGAACACCTTTTAAATATCGACATATTATAACGTATGTTAGTAGAGTCTGTATTTACTGAACAGTAGTATAAAGAACATTTATTCATCAAATCTAAACAGACAGAAATACAAGACATTCCTTGTGTAATTAATAATTAAGACTTATCGCTATTTGATTTTGTCGCTAATGCTAATGCTCATTGATATTTAATTATGATATTATTAGGGTCAAAGTCTAATATCCTCCGGCTAGCTAATATACTATACCTAACTATTAGAAGAACTTAGTTCAGTAAGTATCTATGATTTATTGTACTTTAAAATTGTCACTGAATTGGTTTTCTTACATTTACTTTAGTATTTATATTATTTCTTGACTTCTTTTACGGTATTCCCGTAAAATAATCCACATTCGAGTAAACGAAATTTTTGGTCTAACAGTCAGTAATTTTTGCTCAGTAAATCAAATGTTTATTAATAATAAATTTTGTGTCTATTACATTGTTTTTTTTTCGAACAAATCGAGTCATTTGTTTTAGTTTGGGTGGTATTATGAACCTTATCATTACATATGAACACAATACGTCTACCTACTTAAAAAAAAGTAATTTTATTTGCAAAAACCTAATAAAATTTAATCTTCAGCATCTTTATAGGTAGATAGATAGATATAAATTATCGTGGAAATGCTAAAAGTATTCAACGATTACCAAACTCTTTAACACGTCGCACGTGGGCGTTTGAAAGCAGACTACAGTGATAAACAAACGAAATGTTGACCTAATACTGTAGCCAGACTGTTTCTATAGTAGAACTAATGATCTTGTTCCATAGAGTTCAAAGTCGATCGAGCAAAATAACGCCGCTTGGAATTTTTAATGTTTTGCGCTGTAAAACATTGTTTATTATTATTATTTAATAAGAATACCACCATAAGTATAGACGCTCGTATATCAAACTATCTTAAGGAAACCATTCAAATTTCAACTATAAGAACCAATATTAAAATTCAAATTCAATAGAAATTTCACAGGTACCTTGAAGTACATACCACGGAAAATCTTTAATCAAAATATATTAAACATCGTTTAAAAATTCCTTGTCAATACGGTGACTAATTTTCCTGTATGTCCCAGGACGCAAGACGATCCTCGACGAAGTATGCGGCACCTTCAACGCTGGCGAGCTGACGGTCATAATGGGACAGTCCGGAGCCGGCAAGAGCACTCTCATGGACATTCTAGCGGGATATACGTGAGTCTATTCTTAATTTATTATCTGCAACACCGCCATTGTTATTTTTGGCGTTCGAACTTCGAATTACGTAGTCTTGTAGACATGTTTGATTTTTACAGTACATTGACCTCCTTTTAATTTTGAAAAACTTTTGATGCTAATTCCAAATTTCAGTTAGGTCGGAAAGTCATGCGACACTTGCGTCATGCAATTGTAGCAACAGCAATCTAAATGTCTCTGACTAATGTTGATAAGCATACAGACCTTGTGGTTTCATACACAGGACATTAAAAAAGGTCAATAAAACGTAGGTCAGCCTTAATAAACAATTTCGCTAGTGAAGTGGAAATACATAAACCTTTTTAAATTTGATTAAAAGGCTTATGTAACGCCAAGATACAAATTGCGATTTGTATATAAATTTTAGAACTGTAACAACTTTTTAAGATATCATCTTGTCTATGTTTTGCACTTGCAGTTATCAGACGGCTGCCAATCAGATTAAAATAATGCAAATATTAAACCAATGTCAATGTCTAGACGTAAAATAAAAACAAATATCAACATTTGGTAAAGTAATAGGTTCATTAAGTTATAATTCTAATAAAAAGAATATATTAAAACATGCAAAGAACAAGTTTTAAAATTGAATATTTCATAATATTATCTTGTACGTCCAGATATCAGCTACCTTGATCAAAAGCATCAACTTTTCTATTTATTCTCTGTCATACCAATGTCATGGCATTTCAGACAAATGCCAGTCGAATGAAGAAATTGAAAAGTCATTCTGTAAGTTTCTTTTTTTATTGATTTTGACATTATTTGTAAAATGACAAAAATTATGTCAGTGTCATTTGTTCCACTAGAGTTAAAATGCCATTGTTTTAAGGAGGTCTTCGAATAAATACCTGAAATTAGTGATTAGGTAGTTATACATATTAGTTTATTAGTTACATATCACTTTTTATTTTACTATTTGTACCTGCGCAGTTGACCGCTCCTCGTCACCCATTTGATCGCAATGTGATATTTTAAATCCTAAAGCTTTTCTCCAAAATATACTTTCCAATACAAAAGCAATTGTTCAATTTGAATTCAAAGTTACGAAGAACGCGTCTTCAAAAAAAACAACCTCTTTATTTTTACAATATCGGTATAGATAATAATAATCTAGTTAACCGTCGAAGAATTTGAGTTTTATTTAATTACACGAAAAATAGCTAATTTTAATTTCGTTTACCTTGACAGCAGGATACATTTACTACATAGTGACAACGCTATCGACAATAGGCCACTTAGGTAAAGAGGAACTTGTAAAATTTTACATTTTAATCATTTTTATATACTGATACCTACTTTTTCCGATAAATATAAAATGCAATCATACTTCCTGAGATTATTCTAACAAGTATTAAGATAACATGCTTAGTCTAACGTCACACCATCTTATCTCTGCAGTACATTATATAATATTAAATATTCTTGACGTTTTTCTAATATTTTTTTCATCAAATCAATATTATGACGTCATAGATAATTATCATTTTTGGTATTTCCATAAAATAAATGAATTAGACTTATTGTAAACTACCGTATTCTTTCAAGGCCTACTAAAATAAAAATGAATAGCTGCAGCTTCTGCCACGCCCTTCAATGGACAAGAAGTTGTGATACTCGTTGGGGAAAAAACAAAATAGAAAAATCTTATATTCTGTGATATAAAAATGATTTTTTGGCAAAGCGGCGCAAAACTGGAGAACAGTTTGTGTTTGTTATTGTCTCGAGGGGTCTTATGGAAAAAATGGGAATGTAGAGGGGAAGCCGATTATCAAAAGGGATGTTCCCTCTCGGATATCGATTCTCCCCTCCGTAGCGGTTCGCTAACAAAATAATGACCTTGACTGAGCTTTGGACACCCGTACGAAGCAAAAACGGAACGCTAGTAGAAAATAAAACGTTGTTCATGTTTATACCACTTAGTGGTCAACTGACTTGTCGCATAGTGTAAGCTGATAAACTAAAATACACAATATTATAAATACTAAATTAATCTGTGATTAAATCACGAACATCGTATGATTTGCGAATGCTATCAATGAGAAATTTATGTAAATTATCTACATACACATATGTATATCAATGTAGTTAGTTGGAAGAAATAGGTCTAAATACTTTGCTCGTTTTAACTTGGACAAAAAAATATTACTTCAAAACTTCGTCAAAATTCAAGGAAATAACAAAACCAATGCAAATAAATGTAGGTAAGTAAAGAACACAATCTTTGACCTCCTTCACACAGCAATCAAATGAGTCGAGATCATTGACTCTTGCCAACAACACAATCTGTAAAATTTTAAACTGATTCCAACATTTTACACGCACAAATTAAACGAAAACAAAATTACTCAGAAGGCGTCTTTATTCTGATTGTAATAAACGCTATTTTCGTAAATCAATTAACGCAGCTGAGAATATATCTATGCACAGGTATTCTTTTACATTGTAATATATCTACTTAAGTCTCATTGTCTGGAAACGTGACTACGATCAATCACACAATCAGATAAATGGCGATAACAGATGGTATTGACCTACAATATCTACTGGCTTACTAATCACCATATTGATAATCACCATACGTCATAAAACAGCAGCTCATTTAATTTTATTAAATATTCAGGTGGTGGAAGATAACACACGTGGATTTTATCGTATGAACGTATCTTTATGTGATTTGGTATTTATAACGATTTGCACATTTTTATTGCATGCTACCTTTGTCCAAGGAGAAAGTCTTTTTGGCTTAGTACCTATCTTCAGTTTGAATTTTAACACCTCTCAGACAGGTAGAAAGTTCGGATTAACCTAAGCAAGGTACTGAACTGATACTAAATACTATCTCTCTTTTAGTACTTTCAATGAAATAAATATATATTTTTCGTAGCACTATACTACGTCTTCAACTACGCGACGTAGCAAATATTTTTTATTAGTTTTCTACAAACGTAAATGATATTATGTCATGTTTTGATGTTTATGTGAAGGTTATATAGCTACGTAAATATATCTCGCTAAATATAAAACAATAAGTAATAAAAATAACTATTTATCCTTTTTTGTGACATACACGTGGAAAATACTTACAATGGGTAAAAGATTTTATAAATTTATTTAATGGCTGTATCTTAAAATATGACGTCAAGGTCGTATTATCAATATCTACATTTTATTTTTTAATTAGTTATTGTACACCTGAAACTAATAGCTTAAGATAAACCCTTTTATACAATATAACAAAATAACTGCCTTGTCTATCTGTCAGTGTATTTGAGATAACCAAAAAGAAGCAGTTATCCTGTCACAACTTACACCCGGTTTCTGAAAGGCTTGTCAACGCTAAAATTAACGAATCTCCTGTTAAATCTCTTGTCAAGTCATCTGATTGGTTGTTGATAATTCAGTCAACCAATCAGATGACTTGACAAGAGATTTAATTGATTTTAACATTGATCGGCCTTTCGGAAACTGGGTGTTAGTGAGTCAATTATAAAGTACCTATGTATACATATGTGAATCTTACTACGTATTTATTTATATTAATTTTGAAATAATCTGCTATGTGTAAAGAATTCAGTCAGGATACCGATCTTAGTATTCTTTATTTAAATACATTGTTGCCTGACACATTATATTGTCAGCTAATCAACGATTAAAACAAATGTTAATTGCAAAGATTATTTCGACACAAATATTCCGGTCGAGAAGCTAATAGTTCACTCCTTATCGCCACATATGTATAATACACAATGTATATTATTATTGGGAACGAATATATGATATTATGTGTATGTATTCTGTTGTGAATGTGTCATACAGGTTCATTGTAACCGGTCAATGATAGCAATAGAAATAATGTAACATTGATGCAATGGATATTGATAAAGTCTAGAAAAAAGTAACCTATACGAATTGAGGTGTTATAGTCATTAGTTTTTCTAACTTAATTGACTTTCAATAGAGGCATTATGTAGTCTTTAGTTTTACCTACTTAATTGACTTTAAACGTTTGTTTTAGCTAATCTACACATTACTACACATTAAGGAACGTTGCACACCAAATAAATTTTATTATAATACCTCTTTGTTACGTCCTCTACGAGTAAATGACGAGTAGTACTGGCCGATTATCATAAAACTATGTACGGATGCCATTTAATGTTTTTTTTAGTCACATAAGTAGCATTTATCATAATAATATTTTTATTCGGTATTTGCTTCATAAATAAAAAGTTAACGAATAGGTATTAGATAAGAAATAAAATTATATATGCTTTTCTATTTTCAAATGTATTTTTGGTACTGGCCATCAACAAATAAAATAAACTATGCTATTTATTACAATAGTCATTGGTTTTCTCTGTTCAACTTATTTGTACTAGTAACTATAGTTGTCGATGACCAGGTTTTTACGGTCCGCAAACGAGCTGACTAATTACCTGATGGTAAGCAATTTGCGCCGCCTATGGACACTTGTAACACCAAAGGTAAATGCATAATTAGTAAGGTAGGTGCATTGCCGGCCTTTTGTGGGTTGTTAGGGATTTAAGGATAGTGGATTTGGAGCATCCGGTAACCTCACTCAGTCTGCAAAACGTTATATAACTGTTTTTTCACGCCAGTATTCTATGAAGCCGTGGTATCACTCCAGTCAAGACGATCCATTCGTGCCGAAGCATGGTTCTGGCCACAATTAAACCAAGTCTTGGTGTTCTCTTTCGTTCATTAGTATTTCTGTAAACAACACAGTTGCACGCCAGATCTTACGACCATGGGTTGTTATTGGAATAAAGTAATTATTTATTTTAAATAAATGAAAAAATCTATTAAATGGTGCCCTATATCGCCTTATTAAAACACTATTATATTTGTTACTACTGTATAAATATAATACTACCTAATTTGTCATTTGAAGGGCCTTTATACTTCCGTATTTTTCATCAGATCATTGAATTATA